TCTCAATCCCCGCAATCAGTACCTCCTTGGGGATCAAAGACACGGAAACATCGATCAATCTCGGTACTGCCAAGGAATCGGACCGCATTGCGGTCGAGATTCCATCGCTTCCAGCGGGGTAATTGCTGGAGGAAGTCATTAGTGGAGTAATTAAAACTTTGTGAATTAGTATTTAAAGACGTAATTAGACTTGGAGTTTGGAAAGTGATTATGGAAGTAATTTAAGACGATAAAATATATAACTAAATACTTAAAGTAAAAATGGTATTAATTACTAAAGTATTTCTTCAATGCATTACCAAAGTACCAAGTACAATTATATTTAAGAATATACGGTCACGACGGTTACGACGAGTGCTGCCCCCTGTGTTTGGGGCTTGGAGATGGGGATCTGCTCACCTGCCGGTTTTTTTTTTTTTTTTTCCTCCGATCGATCTCGGTGGAAATCTTCCTTCCCGGACGGAATCTTACCGGCTTTTTGCATGATGCAAATTTTCGATGCAGATATTTTTCTTGCAGGTCATTTCTGAGTGAGAATGTCATTTTGAAACTTTTTGGAAGCATCAGTCGAGATGTATTTTCGCCGCCTCGAGGATGACCGCGTCCGTTTCTCTCTTGGAAAGGGAGTGACGTGCTGCGACTACAGTCCGAGCTGCAACCTGATCGCGGGAGGGTGCTGGGACGGGGGGGTGCTGCTCTGGACGCCGTATTCGCCGGAGACGCCGTTCATTTCGCTGCAGTCGCCTGGGAGGCTTCAGGACCTGGCCTTCATCGAGTCCACGCTCTTCACGCTCTCGAGGGATGCGGTAAGGGCGTTGGGTCGGTTGGGAAGCCCTTTCGGTGTTGGGGGGTGGACTGTTAGGGACTGTTGGGGGGTGGACTCGAGTGTTTAAGTATCGAAGGGACTCTATGGTGGGATGGGTCGCGATTTTTACCTCGCTGGTTCGAGTCAGTTTAGCACATCGATTTTTTGTTTTTTTTTTGGTTCTGCAAGTATTGGGCGTTGAGGATTCGAGGCATTCGAGAGGCAAATCCTCGTGGCGACACGAGTTCGTCGGTACTTCGTCGGTCGGTACCTTCGACAGAATCGATCAGGTTATGTTGCGGTCGCACGAGACGCGAGACGGTCGGTCGGTTCGGTTGCCGGAACTTTCAAGTGAGTTTCCGGGCGGTTCTGTCCCTATATCCTTATCGGTGCTTCCTCTCGTTCTGGTGGATTCAAGGCTTCGCTGATAGATGGCAGTACTCGGCAGGGCTGTCGTCTGCTCGGTACTCGAGGCCTTTTTAACTCGAACACTTCGAGGTCGGGTCGAACGCACGTAAGCTCGGTTGACTCGGGCATGACCCTGTGACGACCAGAACCCGTCGTGTGTTGAACTCAAACAAATGGCTAAATTTTCGTGCCAGGGTCCATCGGACCCAAAACGGTAGTTACAGGGTTAAGGTCCCACTTAACCGTCAGGTGTTGAAGTTTTGCCGTTTCACTCTACTTCCGTTTCTGCAGCTTTTCTCGTTTTGGACTTCGTCCACTTTCTGGGGATAGAAAGGGCATCGGTATTTCGGTTCCATTCGCGGAATGAATCCGAGTGGTAAGGGTGGGAAGTCGTCGAAGGCTAATGACTCTCCTTGGACATGTACTGTATATGGCGCGATAACATCATAAGGCTCGTGGCTCCCGCTTTATGGGGCATGATGGTAGATTAGAGGCTTGCCGGCTCTCGGGTGTAAGCTTCAGTCGTGGCGATGTCGTGATGTGTGTGTTTGCACTTTAATCCTGCCGGTATTACTTCTGTTCCACATTCTGGGCTCGTCGAAGCTCTTTTATGACGGCATCGTCAGGGAAACGCAAGATAAAGGCATAAATCCGACGCGAACGGCAAGTTAATAAAGCGGATGAGGCGATCCCTCCGATACGACGATTAAAAAATATGTTCGAGAAATTTTCGTAGCTCTGTGCCTACGATTAAAGCTGCATAATGTACGCAACATGCGTGCAGTGATAAAACCGATTTGAACTCAAGGACGCGCTCACTCATTGGAACACAAGGTCGCATTCCGAACGGAACGACCGACGCCGACAGCGCGCAATCACAAAGGGGTCGAGACGAAGAAATTAGAGGAACGATGGCGACGATTTCCTGCCATTACCTGGTTTCTACCGTCCATTAACGATAAAGAAGGCCTGAGAATCGAGGACACATCTTCTCGTCCTGGGTGATGAACCGGCCCGGAGGCGGGTCACCGAATGTGCAGGCCATCGCCCGACCGACCGGATTGCATGCATCGATCCTCTCGCGATGGAATGACTCGGATGAACTCGGCCGTTCTCAACTGCTCAGCAGCGATCGCATCGCAAGCGGAGAGACTGAGGGGCATTGCTCCTGCTTTGCCCTGGGGAACAAGCGACCGCCGAGTCCGATCGCATCCTATCCTCGCTTCGTACTTCGAAATTCCATCTTTTTGGCATTCCATCAGGCTCGAGGTAGCGAAGGAAGCGGATGTGCTCCATCCCGTCGCTAGCTTGGAAAGTTAGACGAGGTTCGGGCGTCACGAGAGACATCTACTATCTCGGATGGACGTCTCACCCCGACAGATCATGATTCCATTTATTCTCCTAGTTGTGTTCTTTACAGGCCAGGATGGCCTATTTTCCACTCGGGTCAATCCAGTATTGAACGAGAGGGGGAGATATCTTGCTGGGTATGCTTCACCTACTTTAGGGATTCGAACCATTCGAGCAAGTTGGAAAATAAGGGTATTATAGGTTCCAAGCCTAATCTCGAAATAACTGCACATTCGGACGATCGATGTAACTGTGCCAAGATCAGACGAGTAAGCTATCCCACAGAGTAAATCTTAATCGCATTATTGATTAGATCTGAGGAGTTGAAAGTGTTACAAGAATTTCGGAAGTGAAAATTCACACTGATTATTGATCTGTCAGGGGTGCATAAGCCACAAATAATTGAAAAAGCATACATAATAAAATACACTACAGGTAAAACACAAGGGTGTTTTTTTTTTGTGCAGTGTAATACGCTCTATGGGTGTATATTCATCGCCTCGATTGAAGTTCACTTGAATTCATCTCAAGGAAGATTTGTGAAAGAATGCCCTGAATTTGCATCAGTATTTAGTCCAACAGAATCCCATGGAATATCAATTCAAGTCAATGTCTTATAGGTCTGATATATTTTACAGAATCAAACATAAGTAAGATTCAGCTGAAATAAATCGGTGTGTCACCCCTGCAGAGACTCTGCGTATGGGACACGACGAACGAGCGACTTTTACGGAGCACCCAGCTGGACTTCCCGGCTCGGAAGGTGCTGGGCAAGCACCTGGAGTACCCCGGGAGGACCGTGATCCCCTGGGGTGAAGAGAGGCCTCCGTCCCTGCTCCTGATTGGCTGCTGCGATTACATCGCTTGGATCTCGATGGACTGGGTGGAGCGGAACCCGGACGACCAGTCCCAATCCAGCTCCTCCACTACCCCCAAGAGTCTGGAGCAGTTTGACTTTGACCTGGACCAGCATCCAAGCAGTAACAAGACCAAGCTGGCGCCGTCCCGGGTGAGGCTGAGCGCAAGCGAGAACAACCTGTCTCGGGCCCAGGTCCCCACGGCATCCACTGCATATCGGGACAAGATCTTGACCCAGATGCAGCGGGCATTGGAAGCCAGGCCGGTGAGGAACGTCCACCCGCACACGTTGCAGATCTTTGAGGCGAAACGAGATGGAAAAGGACTGAGGACCTCCAAATGGGCCCTCCCCAAAATCCAGACCTTGCGACTGGCCGCCAGCACGAAGGCAAGTATCCACACCGCACAGTGTAAGCAGGAGGCCTCTCGGGATCAGGTGAAGGCCAAGGTCGACCAAGGTTACCCATACTGTGCACTCAATGTTCCCGATCTCACAGGAGACATTCACTCATCTGTCTCGCGAAGCGTTTCCTCCCAGTTTTAGTCCTCGTTCACACTGTGATTTGTCCCACTTTTTTTCTTTGTCTCTCTGCACTGATCTCTCATTCTTAGTCATTATTGGTGCTCTCATGATTCCTGGTTTGGTGCTGTGCCTTGCCTGCTTCATCCATGCATATCTACTACACGTACACCTTTCAACAATGAAAAAAGATTAACAGTATAAAGATGAACAAAATGATTTTTATTCTCGGAATTCGAAAAAGACATTGCTTCCAGCATTTTTGACACAGCAGCTGACAATGTGGGAAAAACGGGAGCACCCCGAGAAAAACCCACAAACACTATCCGCTAAGTTTACAAATTTATTCTCAATGAGGGGATCTGGGAACAAATTTTTTCCCCCAAAGAGAGTTCACCTAGAGCAGAAAAAAATACTCCAATTTCCAAGAGGAACCAGATGTACAACATGATGATATGAAGGATGTGAACAAGATGATATATGGATCTGGCTTTTTTTTGGATTATGAACAGAGATGTATTTTCCATCATAGCTTCAGCTGCTCAAGCAAAATCCAAGAGATGAGAAACATTGCCTTGATTGTTGACTGACTGATGCAAGAAAATGAGCAAGAAAGCAGAAAAAGCATGGCCTCATCCACACCAGAAAGTTTTCTTGCATAGATGATGAATGTAGCAAAAGATTTTGTAAAGAAAACTTTTCAAGAAATCTTCCAGAGCATTGAAAATCATGCATATAAAACTTTCAAGGACATCCTCACCACCAAAGCTTTCTTTGCAAGTGGACTCACAAAGAAAAATTGCACAGAAAACTTTCTGGTGTGGACAAGGCTTATTAAGTGGGGGAAAAAAAGTGATATGATGAGCATAACAGTTATACTAGAATGAGATGAATGTGAACTTGTCATACATATAACACTGACAAATAAAAAAAGAAAATCAACTCTGTGCAAGCTAACTTTCATCTCTTATTACTTTCATCAGAGCATCAGCCCTTTAAATAGGGACTCTTACATGCTGATGTAAGAATCAATATGATGAAAACCAATCAAATTATGGATAATGCAATTGGTCACTCGTGAGTGCACAAGTATTCAAGATTTTCAGCTCTCTCACATGGATGCATGCATCTTTACAGTTCACCAAATTAAAAAATGATACTCCAATAATAACCATAAAAAACCAAGCAGTTGAAAATCAGAGGATGGGATGGACCCTTTCATCTTTCCTTGATCAGCCTGCCAAGACTCTTGTAAGAGCCCTCACGTATTGCATACTTAATCAAAGAGAGAACATTTTCCAATGACATAGAATTTAAAATGATTAAGGCATGGAATTCCATAGCAGGAAAAAGAAATAAAAAACCACTGAAGAAGTTTGAGAGTGAATGGAATAATATAAAATAAAGATTGAATTTGGCAATTGCTGAAGAGAATACATGAAAGGTAGCCAAAGTTGAGGGTCATGACCTCTGACATTATTCCTTGTCAAACCAAGCTTTTCTGAAGTACTCTTGGGAACAGAACTTGAGAAAAATTACCAGAAATGACCAACAAGATTCACCAACAGCAACCATAAATGAACAGGATCTACATCCAAATATTGCAAATTTATGCTTTCAAGTTATGATAGGGATTCATAGTCCTGAAGGAGAAATGAAAGCCAATGACAGATAAGCAAGACAAGATTCAATCAGAGACATTCTGAGAAGGCATAGCCAATTTAAAATTACTCTCAGAATTAAGTGATGCATTTATGTTTGTAGAGCGATTTGTGAAGCTCTCTACACTTGACACATTAGAGAAATGCATCTCAAGTTCTCTTCTGCTCTCTGCAGTGGATGAAGGCTGAAAACATTATCACTTTCTTTCAATATATAATTACCTGGACTGGCCCTGGTCACAAATCATTTCTGTGCAACAGCCACACGAGGAAACACATGCACTTCCATCAAAGTATTTCTCAATTCTAGGCAGTCCTGATGAATCCCTCTTGTGCATGCATCCTGTCATTCTGTATCCTCAAACTTGTGGCAAATTCTGCTACAGCTCTCCGCATAACAACTTCTCCAATAATGAGATTTTATGGAAAACTTAGGAATATGAAGGCTTAGTAAACTTCAATGCAGAATCAATCCCCCCCCCTGAATTCATAGACATAAAAAAATGGCATGAGTCATTCATCACAAGTTTCTAAAAGTGAGAAAGAAATATTAGGCTTAAATTCACAAAACAGTGTACATATTGAAAGGCCACAGAGACATCCTCTTTGCCTATACAAAGGATATGTAGGCTCCATTGTCAATAGAGGTGTATCTAATTGTTTCTTTTTTTCAAACAGGATTTCTTTCACCTGCTTCAAAGCTTCCTTTCCCTCTTTTCATATTTTCTCCTTACTGTGGGCTTTCAACATGCAGGTGAACACTTCTTTTTCAGGATTAAGACCTGTCTCAAAAGAGGGAGGATTCATGTTTGCTACCATCCAGACAAACAAATGGATTCAGGCCTAAAATAGAAAAAAAAAAGCTAATCTGAAGATAAGGCAAAAATGAACAGGCATTGTGACTACTGCATGAGAAGCACATATGAAAGATAACAGAAAAGTACAAGATAAACAGCAGGGATATGAAACATGAGTACTTACACAACCACTCTGATCAACATCAACATCCTCACTTGTCTGCCAGATGTCCTAAATTATGGCATACATTTTTCACTTATGCAATTCTTGAGTACAAGCCTGCAGTCAGCATCTATCACCTCAATAATTGCTTCCTGTCCATCTTTTCATGTTACATATCTAAGTAAAACCAAGTAAACTATAAATATAGGGTTGCAGTATTTAAACTCTGCAATGACCCTACCCCATGAAACGTGCATGCACACCTCTGGTCAAAAGTCTTATTTTCAAGATAAACAACAGACAAAGCCTCTTCCCTAACACTTCTACACTAATACTTGATAAAAGGCTACTTTTACACAAACCTGCCATCCTGCACATGCTACAGAGACATGGAAAGCAAACATGTCAGTTGTGGTTATGGTCATTGATCTGTTCTTCATTGCTCAACTTGAGGAAAACGATACGCCTCAAGGATGGAGGTGTACCAACAGCAATGACTATGTTTAATAGACTTCAAATGAAAAACTTGCCTTGATCTTACTCCCGCATTCTCAAAAATGTTACTGGCTGAAATTCACTGCCAGCAATTTACTATATTAAGCACCATGTGATTTACTCCCTGAGTCCTCTTTCACTTCATCAATGCCAATATTTTACTTAATGTTACCAATCTCATGCAAATCAAGACCTAACTGCACCAATTCTGCCACTTTTGAATATTCTTGCGATCCACACCTGGGACCAGGATGAAAATCACAATCCCAATATTTCCCCTTTCACAAAGCCTGATTAAGAACCATCAAAGTGATGAACATTCTTGGAGACAGCAGGGATACACAAGAGTAATAATTCACAAAACAATACTTCCCTGACATTCAAAACAGAGGGATGGATGTGCAGAATCCCAATGCTAGACAAGACATGGCAAAAAAGTGAACAAGTGAACAATGTCAATATCAAGTCAACTATATCATAAGCCATTCAGTCTCCCTTTTTTTTAAACTTATCTTTTCTGGGAGAGTAAGGCATCGCATGACACAGCCACTGTTTGCATCTTTCATTCGCTACATATGACTATCATGGCAACTTGGTGTGAAACTAGAACATCTAACTCTAGAGCATATGGGCCTATCAGATACAGCATGTCCTCAATCGGTGCCAGTACTGATTTAGTCATACAAATTAGATGTATTTGAGCACTCTCTCTCTCTCTCTCTCTCTCTCTCTTTGCCTCTCATATATTGTGAAGAGGCACTTCATGTACAAACAAGGCATAGAAACCAGCAGGAGGAAATTTCCTAAAACCTAATATCTAAGACCATAGGGAATAGGAATCCTTGTCCTTGTCTTGTTTGGCCTTAAATGCATCTGAGGCTGTATCAGAGAGCATGCCATCATCCCAAAGGTTCTTAAATTCCCCCAGCGAGGGCTGGCTGGTGGCACTTGCTTCACTGAAGATGTTCTGCATAAACTTCGATTGGGAGGCCGTCGTCAATGGAGGTATGATGGTGAGTGGGGATGAGGTATCTGGTTCCCCGCTACCACCCATTATGTCAGTCAAAGACTGAAGGATTGTGTTCGTGCATGTTGCATCCTCTTCTTCTTTATTCGTCTTGACTGTGGATGAGGTCTTCTCGGTGTGCGTGGGTGACCTGTTGGGGCACAGAAAATTATGGTTATGGCATTGCTATGTTAGCTGCTTCATTCCATCTTGATGCGTGAGGCTCATGGATAAGTAAAAGGATTAATTAAATTTTTTTTTGCTGCAATTCATGAGGGAACAATAGTTCCTTAACAGTCTATGCAAACATGCATGGGGTAATTAGGGGGAATATGGCCCTAAATAGTGAAACCTAGTATCAATGGCTCACAAAGTCAAATTTAACTTTTCCAATATTAAAAAATATTAATGGACTCCTTTATTCAATCCCAGCAAGACAATTGCCAAAAAAGTACATGGGAAATTAGCATCTGGGTCCTTACCAAATTGGTCCCAAGAGGCCACATTATCCCCCTATTGCTGGAGAAATATGGCAAGGCATCAGAGGGAATATGGCCACCTCTCAAAAAACAAAACCCAAGGTTATTTATTTTTTTTTTTTTAGGTGTTTGAAAAATACTTGAACATACTGAGTACCGGAAAAACAACAAGGCTTAGCAGCTGAAAAATGCATGCTTCTTGAGCCACAGTCCCAGTTAGCAATGGTACATCTGACCAACATTGAAAGGGGCCTGGGAGTGGCAAAGTTGATTGTGATGGCTATGCAGCAGAGGCCCTGGGTTCAAATCCAGAGAAAAAGCAGGTTTTTTTTCTTAAAGTTTGTCCAATGGACATTTGATGCAATCCATGCATTTGTTGAGAGTTTAAACCCAAGTGAAGGAGATTCCTGACAATTCTTAGATGGAGGAAGGACAGTTCATCTTGTAACCTGACTCCAAGGGCTGCAATGAAAAGCAGGATTGTAATGCTTTGGTCTTGGAGTGGTATTGTGCATGATTGGGAGGCTGTGTCTAAGAGACTTAGGGTGTAAAAGGAGTAATCACCCAGAGATTCAAACAAACATGTACAAACTAATAGGTCCCATAGTGAGGGGGAAATGTTGCAAAGTTACCTGCATATATACACAAAAATTAAAAATCATAGGAAACACTTATATTTAAAATATGAGGGATACTCACTTGCTTTCAAATTTTATACAATGAAATTTTCTTGAATATATTCAGAGGATACTCAAAAGGCTTTGCATGATGATATTCACTGCGGATTTCATGCAGATGTCCGGTGGATATTTTACATCTGCAGTGAATATCCAGTGGGCTCACACAGAAGAGGAATAAAAATTTGCTGATAGGTCAGTGCAATGCTCCCATGAAATCAAGGTTGTGTCCATAATGTATTCCTGTAGTCATTCATTGAGAAAGGAAAATGAGACCAACTCCTAAGAGATCTTGTCATTGTGGTAGACTACACAAATAAATACAGAAGATGCTCACCTGTCCTGCTGGTTTTTCTTAGTCTCAGGGAAGTGGACCTTGTCAAGGAACCTAATCTTGGTACTGGAGTCCTTTTGAAATTCAGTGGCAGCTGGACGTCCCTCTTCTGTTGGACTGGGACCTTTCTGTGGAACATCCTTGCTGGCAACAGATGCTGGTGTAACATCAGGAACTTCTTTTCGGGGACTTTCTCCCCAATGAGTCCCACCGTGGAATCGGAAAGAGCCTCCTTGTGCCTGCATGGAGCTAAAAGCCCGGACCATTTGTTGGAAGGCTGCTGGATTTGGCATCCAGGGGTTGGTGAAGTTAATGAATGGAAAGGGACCCCAAGGGTAGGAGGGAACAGGCATGCCAAAGGGAGAAATCCAGGGGGCAATGTAACTGGCCATGGCTGCATTTGGGAAGTGAGAATAGGGTGGCATGAGAGGGAAGTCAGGGACATGAGGGAAGGAGTCATCAACAAGGGAGTGAGGACCAGGTCGGGGTGGGGTTGTTGGGCCCATCGGAGGCCAGCTTCTTAATGCTGTTGGGATGAATGTTGATGCCATGGGATTCAGGCCATAGATAGCTTTCATTTCCAGTCCTGTAACTCTCTCCTTCAATTCCTCCCAGCTGATGCCAAACAGGGATTTGTTCTCATGACACACTTCCAGCATATGACGCCACACAAGTCTGAATTAAAAAAATGCAACTTTTTATACATAAATTCCATATACTTATGTGATATTCATTTAGCTATTTCCAAGATGGAAACAAACCTGCATGTTCCTATGGCTGACAATGATAGTGGATCGCCGACAATGATGATTTGGGATTGAGATCGAGTCAATGCAGTATTCATCAAGCGAGGGCTGTTGAGAAAACCCTGATTATCCTCTTCTGAGGGTGTGATGGGACAAGTGTGATGTGTTCTCACAGTGCTCAGAATCACCACCCTGAACTGCTTCCCTGTTTAAAAAGAAAAAAAGCAACAGCTTTTCGACATTCTAATAGAAGCCTCACTGACACTGGTATTGGTGAGGGAAGAAAGTTAACACACCTTGGACATTTCGCACACTTTCTACAGTAATGCTGGATAGATGATGTTTGCGGAGTGCAGCACGTATGTGAATAACCTGCTGGGGGGAAGGGGTGAGGACAGCAATGCTTGATTCATCCTGCATTCCCCAACAAGTGGGCCATGTTGCCAGCAGCTCCTTCACCCGATCCACCACCTCACACACCTTCAAGAAAACAATGAATAGGTCAACAAAACTCTTTTTTTGAGACTTGAAAATTGCCATTCTAGAAAAAAAAACTTGAAAATTTTCAATTCATAATCAAACTTCAATTTAATTTGTTTAAGGCATTCCCTATCCTATTATCTTGTAATGAAAAAACTATGTCCTAACTCATGGTATTTTATTATTTCTGTTCATAAGAAGGGAATTAATTCCTTCATTCAATTAGTACTGGTCAAGCTTCAAGGAGTCAGGCTTGGCTGAATCCATTTCTGAAGGGTTTAAGCCCTGAGGCTTGAGTAGAGACACCATTGATTAGCCAATGAGCAAGAAATTTCACAGTGGATATCCTCATTCTCACCTTCATTCCACTGCCTCCTCTGAGATCTAAACTATTGTTTTCTATATCTGTCCCAAGAAATGGTGCTACAGTAAAAAGAAAAATGAAGTCAAACTACAAAGCATCAAACAAGATAGACTAAAGTGAAAAAAAAAGAAAAAAGGCAGATCAACTTCAATTAAGTTACTACAAATGACTGTTTAGTCCATTTACTACAGCATTCCTCATGAACGAGTGAATGCTGACTCTCAGGACTTCAATCCAACAACTCAAGGGTCCTGGCCCTTAGGACAAGAGTCAGAACTCTCAAGCTGAAGGACAGAGATTATTCTCCCACAGCTGTAACATGGTCTCCCACTTTGTAGGAAGCCCACTGACTTGTCTGTGGATTCACTGGCGACAATGCTTTGAAGTGCAGAATCTGAGGAATTCCTATAACTACAAGACATACCTCAGCCATGTTGTAGAAAGATGTGCTGGCTGGATCCTTCTTGTCTTCACCAAAGGCCGCAAAGAAAGCCAAAGGATAAAGTGTGTCATGATTTAACTGATCTCCCTTAGCCTCCACATGCTCAGATCCATAGAAGGCTTCTGACAAGAACTGTAAATGGGAAAAATAAAAATAATTCTTAAAATCAGACTCAGTTCAAACTCAACTATTTATTCCATGCTGAACTAACCTGGACAATAGCATTGTGGGAACGGTAGTTCTCCCCAAGGAGTACTTTGCATTGATGGGATGTTGAGTACATTTGACACAGCCTTTCCAATAGTGAGCGATTCAATTTCAGATCTTCACCACATGGCGAATACACCTCAGAACATAGCTTTGAAGGAAAAATGAAAAGAAAAGTTGAAGATTCATGTTTTTCCTGAAGTAGAGGGTCTGATGAAAACAATAGAAATGTTATTTCAAGATCTCAAAATCAGAGTTTTTCCCAATTTTAAGGCACATGTCCATGAACATTTGAAGCTTTATGCTTCAGGGTTTGGTTGTGATATAAAAACTTATATGAGCAAAAAAATGAAAAGTATAAAAATGAGTCAACATAGTAAAAATGTATCTTTGGAGTAAATTTGAAACTAAATTTGTACTAAAGTATGAAAGTGCCTTTTTTCAACTTTTTTCATATCCAAGGTAGATGAGGTTTTGACAGTCACAATGAGACAAGTTCAGGAAGATCAAAAATAAAATATAGTCCTAAAGTCATTGAAGATTCAAATAAGTACACTCATCTGTAGCACAAGGTCCAGAGAAATTGTGCTCCTGTCAGTCCCAGAAACTTCATGGCAAGCCAACATCACTCAGACACAAAATGGAATTTGATTTGAATATGGGTATTTTAGAAAGGTAGAGCTTCAAACCATCTTTCATTATCTGGGTGAAGTTGGTTTTAAGCAAAGAGAGAGATCACTGATCTTTTTCAGAGATCACCGATGGCATTACTTCTTTCATCTTCATGCCACAGACAAGTACACTTCAATTTTCTTAAGAGAATGTCTTATCTTTGGTCTAATAGAACTCTCCTAGTAGTGAAAATGTCTTGTCTGCTGAAAAGCATCAACTATGGAGAGCAGAGCATTATGACTAGGTGCATTCACATAGCAGTAACATCACTGACACTCTTGTGGACCTGTTCAACAGTCCACACTTTTGCTTTAATCACATCAAAATTTTCAGGGTCCATGCACCTGTAAGTGGAAAAAATCCAAACATAATATTTACATCATATAATGCTCACCTGCAGAGGGTCACCAGCTAGTATAACTCTTGTTTTGTCATCAGCAAGTGTCAGTGGGATGACTGCCTCACACTCCAAAGCTTGACCAGCTTCATCAATCATTATATGAGTGAAGTGCCCTAGAAACAAACTAGGCATAAAGTACCAGCAAGGAAATGATAGACTAACAAGTTATTCAAGACTTGTCAGTAGGCTAGCAGAGATGGTCCAGATAACAAATTTACTATTGCAAAAAATTATTTTCAAGGGCAGACCTTGCTTGACTCCAATTTGTGACAGGTATCGAGCAGTGCCAAGGGTAGTGATGATGATTCTATGCTTCTCCACCTCTTCCAGTGTTGGAAGCCGGAAAGTGGTTGCGTGATCCACTTTTTCCAGAGTGCAGTACTAGAAAAGTACAAAAAGGATTAATAATTCTGCCCTGAAAATATATCAACAGATTTTGAAGATGCATAAGGGCATATCCCTGATGAGGCTGACTCACCCACTGTACAATAGGATGCACAGTTCCAACCCATCTCCCAACATAATAGATCCTGAGAGGCCTGGCAGCTTCATTGCCAGCTGCAACCAAAGGTTGCAGATACTCTCTGATATAAAGATCAGCTGCACTGTTAGAGTGGGTGCATATTAAGATTTTGGTCTCTGGTAGAGTGAGTAATAGCTTGATGGCATGTGCCATAGTATAGGTCTTCCCAGTTCCAAAAGGGCCTGGAGCAAAATGGAAAATACAGCAGAAATCCCAGGAAAAAGACAAACAGAATCTATAGTTGTGTCCCAACTTACCCATCATGATGACAGGAGGAAATTCAGGACACAATTCTGCAGTGATGGCAAGCACTGCACACTTCTGCTTTGCATTCAGTTTTGGTGATTTTTCAATTCCCTCTCTGAATAAGAAAAGTGTGCAAATCAACAAGATGATACACATAACCAAAGATATTTTAACTCCAGGGCAAGATGAATTGCCAACAAAGAGAACCCCACATGTCCAGGAGGTGTTTCATTTCTATCTCTGATGATAGATCAGGGAATAGGAACTTGGTCTGTGAGAGATTATCCAATGCCTGATGTCTCTCGCAGAATGGAAGTCTGTTGAGTTGAAACTGAACTTCAGCTTGAATGAGTGTGTCATCCTGGAGATGAAGAGCTTCAACGGCTTCCTTGTTGAATCGCAGATATAATGTACTTCTTGCTCGGTCCTCGATCAGAGCCTCATAGATATGGTCATCATGCAGTTCCTGAAATAATTACTTTCCATTGAGGTACAGCAGTCATGAGGTCTCCCCTCTAGAATACAAACTATAATCAACATTTTACTTTTAAAAACAAGATATGCATCTGACAAACGGGCTGAGTTTTTTTTATATTCCACAAAAAGGAAGGGGGGCTTCTCGCCTCAGGTTGAAAGTGATTAAGGGCTTCAGCCAGGGTACTCTCTATGGTCCTACATGAGGACTTAAGTATATGTCACAAGCTATATAGACCAAAGCTGGTATCATATAATAAACTACCTTACTAAATGGAAACCAGCTGATCTTTCATCTCAATAAAACAGCATATTATATCCAGCCAAATAATAACTCCCCCTCGATTGAAAGTGCAATGGGGGAGGGGGCATGTGTTCATATTCAGCTAGATCCACTATGTATGGGCATGCACCAGGTTCTTGCAGTAAGAACCTTGTACTTACTGTAACAACCTGGCCCCCATGCTGAACCTCTATTTCTTTGGCTATAAACCTTTCACCAATTGCTATTCACATTTTCACATCTGCATTTGTGAACCTCACATTTCTGCATTCAAGCAAAGAAATTCATGAAAATACTTAATATGACATACTAGCCAGTAGGTGCTTCTTCACGCAAGCATACACACAAAGGAATGAGAGATTCACTCCTGAATACCTTCTTATTCTATGCCAAAATACTTAATTTTGATGGTGTAATTATATTTCATACAGTAGGCATGGCATACAACAGCATGACAGATGCCCCCATTATCCAGATACTCCAAAGAAAACTGCTGGGACTCAGTCAGCACAGAGGAGTCCACCAATTACCTGGACTTGATTCTAAGCCATCATGGTTTTAAAGTTGGAAACCCTAACAACTCAGCTACTGACTCTAGTTCTTCCTTTATCATGTCAATATGAGGTGGAGCAACTGGTGTCATAGCTAGAAAAGACCTTGAACAGACATTACTGAAAATAATTCTCATGAATACCTTCCTTTAGGTCAATCAATAAACTTAAAAGATATTCATAAGTCTGTATTCAATTCTGCATGCAACCATAACTGCTACAAAGTAAATCTGCAGAAAAGAACCAGATAGAGTCTCTGTGGCATGTAACTACATCACTATGAGATACATTTGATGCAAGAAACAAAGAATGGCTGACATCTGATCCTATTATGGGTACTGCTCTATCATGGGTAACAGGGTATTGCCTATGGTACTTGTTGCCCAGAGGAGCAGAAGGGCAGCTGGGTTTCCCCCTCCCAAGGGGAAAAGAATAGCAAAACTTTTGCCCAAATGCCAGTGGCATGGAATTTGTTTTTGCATTGCCTAAAGAATTTTCAAACTACTGATGAACTAACCTTATCTATCTAACCTACTTCTTCTTTAATCCAGACCCCCAAATGTAAGACTCTCACCTCACCTTCTCAGTCTTATTACACTAAGTCTGAAGTGATCCTGCATCAGCATCAATCACAATTCCCGTGACATTCTCTCATAGAGCTTTGTCATCATACTATTTCCAAAAGATCCAAGTCCTCAAAAACCACTAGTTCCCTCATTTTCTTCTCCTCTCCCAATATTCATAAATCCCTGCCACCTTATTCCAATGCAGGAGGGCCACCACAGTGGCAGGAGGTTCATTGAAAACCAATACATACCTAATCCATAGGTTATGGCAAAAAAAAAAAAAGAAAGACCAATGACTTTCAAATATGGCTGTACTGATGTAAAAATTAGGCCAATGTGGCATTTCCTGATACCTGTTCTTGAAAGATGAACAATGCTGATACCAGTTTTTGTGCTTCTGCATAGGATAGGTCATTTTTTCAGGGCAACAATGTCATTAAGAAGGCATTAACTTGCATTAGGCCCATCAGTTTTAAATTGGGTGTGAAGTGAAAGACCATTACAATGCCTGAAATAATTTTTCTCCAAAATCACCAAAAAGCACACCAAACAGGGCTCAAAATCACAAGAAAACTAAGCAGAAATATCAAGTTCTACTATTACAAAAGGAGTTATTTTGTAAGGATGAGATTAAATTCACTTCTAGCTAAGGCATCAGTCAGTATCTAGGTATAGCAGTACTGCCTTAGCATTCTACAAGACTATAATTGGAAACAGACAGGAACACAAAGATCTAGGCTAGGATAGGCCATATGAAACTTGAATAACAGGCCAAGCCTATACTACTTTCAGGCCCACCAAGCTGTAAATGCACAAACTGCATCTAGAGGTCTAGACTTCTGTTAATGTAAAGCCTATGAACATTCACTGGAACCAGGTTTATTTAAGATTAAAAGCTTAAGTAAAAAAAAAATCAATTGCAAGGGCCTTTCAGAGGATTCTGTAGGAATGTAGCTGCCTCTCCCACACGCACCATCATCTGGTGCCAATCAGTGGAAAGAGGTGGCACTCATGACAGCAAGACACATCTGGCCACTTGCTCACTTGAGGCTTAGAGTTCTGTTCCCCAGAATAAGTTGCAGATCACAAATACAACTGTCCAGTTGCAGGAATTTTCTGGCCTGCTACAGAATGCAGGGAAATTAAAGTAGAAGGATGAGATATGATTTGTGTTGAGGGTTAAAATTTTTTTAAAATGAGGTGCTCAAAGATCAGTATCACTGGTTTAATAGAGAATGCTTAAATCAGTTGGTAAAAGGATTGGTACAGCCCTGCTTTTAAACTATATATCTCTACTACCACTAGAGTTCTTTTAATGAAACTTGCATTGCCCAAAAATGAATGTTTCCAACAGATCCTCAACAAGTCATCCAAACTTGTTCAGCCAAGGCTGAGCTATTATTCAAAAAGAAGTTGGATATTAAAAATGTACGGGCTCTTGCTGATAGTGCTTGGGAAATTTATTTACACTGCAGTGTCATGCCATCCAGCATTCCCCTCCAGTATTCTCTTCCACTGAACTTCATTCCATGGGTTGGCCTTTCATTGAAAATGAATTGATAAGCTATTTTCAAATTGTGACAGAATCAAAAAGTTTCAATGCAAAGAATTACTTAAAGTTTATTCAGATTTTCCCTTTATATGAATGGAAAATATGGCAAGTACAATCAACTTACCCCAACTTACTCCAGTCCCCTGTCCATTTTCAATTTCCCATCACAATAATTGAATAAATTCTCAAAGCATTGCATTGGCCTGAACAATGAAGGTTTGGACAGTTATTGGGAATATATCCATCTATGCATTATATAAGTTTCACAACAATGACTCCAGTGACAGCAGAGATACTGAGCTTAAAAGTCAAAGGCTATTTTGCAATTTTTTGTTGTACCCTGTATATTTGGATGGGATGAAAGATATTTCCAACTTGATGTGACTGCAGTGGAATGCCATCCAAGATATCAGCAGGAAATTTTCAATGTAAGATCTAATATATGTATAGTTTTCTGAAAACTTCAATGATATTCAGAACCCATGTAGCAGCTTCTTATTGCAATGTATCAAACAACATGTGTCTGTCTGCATCTGTCCGCTTAGTAGGAAAAGCTCATCATGCATGGAGCAAGCATCCATAGTCCACACAGAGACAAACTTGCTAACTTGACATCAGGTAGAAAAAAAGCTGTTACATAGGTTCCAAAAGACCAATATCAATTTAAATTTTGGAAAACCTGGAACACACAAAATCAATCTGTTGGCCAGATCTCTTTGAGGGTATTGCACTATTCTCAACTCATTGATATTCAAGATGCAGGCAAATAGGGAAACTCTCTTACAGTAGTAGCTGATGATTCTTTGCCCTCTCTGGAGCTGTGCAAGACTTGAAATAGCACAGACTGGCAGGAGTTGATTAGTAAGCGTCCAGCATGTGTATCCTCTGATATCTCACCACAAAGTGTCAGAAAACCAAACAGCTCTCCCTCAATGCAATATTTCATGGTGGAAGCAGGTGAGGCCAGCATGTACCCTTTCACCATCTTGATATGAGCCATGAGGTTGCATTTCTGGATCTCCCTCAGTTGAGCTAATTCTTCCAAGTAGAGGAAATTATGCATCTGAGAAATGTAACTCTCTGGGCTTAGTACGCCCTCCTTGGTGATCTGTGACTCATCAATGCAGAGAGCATATTCAAGAGGATACTTCTTGAGAAGATTGGCATCCCCATCTGACTGAAAACTAGGATCAAACTTGACTATGTGGACTTTAGAGGGATCCCAGTGGTTCTTGTTGGAAAGGATGCATTCCTTCACATCTTGTAATTCTACAGATAAAGGGATAGGTTCCACCTGAGCCTCTATTCTCTGGGCTTCCAATCTCCCAGATGCAAAGCGAAATTCCAGGGTCTGCTGAAAAGTTCCATAGACTTCAGTTCTGAATTGGATGATGATGGTGTATGCGACATCTTTTCCAGTGCATTCCTCAGCAAACTTGTTTTCCCACTTTGCTGAGTCCACAGGAACAGATACACGATGATAATCTTCTCCAGAATCTAAGTATATGATCTTGATGCTGAAGTGTGTTGTGGTGCAGACATCCATTAGAACTACACATGCCAGGGGATTCCTTGAAGTAACACAGAACTTCCATTCCTGCTCACAAATCTTCTTTGTCAGTGAGCACTTCTGCCCTGGTGAACAGGTGATCTCTTCATCCATTTCTTTAATGCACCAAAGAATGAAGTTTTGAATCCCCTTTGCAGTGTAGCCTAATCAAATTTGGAATGAGGCTACTTGACAAAAACCTAAGAACAAGCAGAGAAGAAAATGTAAAATTTTAATCTAAGATTTCTAGGCCTATTGGGTTTTTTCCATGTTCCCCAGATCTAGGACAGCCATATGCTATGATTAGTCAAACCCAAGGAAGGTTGCATTTGTCATTTGAGGTGCACTGGATCACCTTTATTGGAGTCCAATCTGACCAGAATGTGTCATCAAAATCATCCTGATTCTGACATGACAAGCACAATTCAGGCATAAATTTTATCTAATTATATGTTATGTATACATCAAACTATTTTTTAAACCTCTATAACATGCATATTTTGACAGATGTTAAGAAGTTGACTCTGCAGTTACTTTTTTAGCACCAAAGACTTCACTTTCATTATCTACAAGGTTTTTATAAAGTTAGTTGGCCCATTGTAATATCCTTAAGTTAAAAACTATGCACAGGAGACTGGTCAAAATTGGTATATGTTCTAATGTGACAATGGGTAAGGCAATTCCAGTTTAAAAAAAAAAAGCCACCCAGGGGTGCTATGATGTAAATGTTGGCACTGAAAGTCTGGTGTGCTTAGCAACTTGATTTGTGCTGTATTCACTGTGCAGATTTTCTTCTGTAATATGAAGTGCCACTTGTCTGACTTCTGCTACAACCTCTACAGAAGGGTGACAAAACTGGGACAGGCCGTTTTCTCTAGAACAGCCCCTGATTTTGAGGTACTGTCCTGCTCAGAAAACAATCCAGCAATATTTCCTTTCAGTGCCACTCATTTGTAGCAAGCAGCTCATTGGCCTAGTCAACTGTAAATGGAGGGAAAAAGTCTCAGATTTTCCTTTTAAAAAAATATGGTCACCCTACTTTACAGGTGTTGTGGGGCCACCACTATGGGGTACATCAGCAACCAATCCTGCATTTTTTTTATGATCTTGCAATAAGCCTCAAAACTGCATAGTCCAGCTCATTCTCTGCTTTCATACCAATATGATCATCAAAATTGAGGTGTTATTACTTTTGTTGTAGTAATGCTAGATAAGAGCAATCCTTATGCTCAGAGAACCTGTTACTAGTCATTTCCAAAGGCAGAATGAATGCTGGGAAGTTTGTTCCCATTCTTATACTCTACCTGAATGTAAATTTGGTATGGCATGACAGCACCACCTCGTGGCATTTTAAAAAATACTGGAATCACCTTTCCATTGCTGCATTAGCCTAACTACTGATTTTGGCAGGCCTCCAATGTATAGTGTTTGACTTGTGGACATTTCAATAGGTTAACTAACTTCATAAGAACCCTGCATAATACTGGTTCTCAATTGGTGGGCCATAGCCCTCCAAACCCTCTAGCCAACCATAAACCTGTGTTGAACCATATTTTTTTTAATGTATCCCATTCAATAGTGTAATTCTTTTAAGAGTCAAAAAGGAGGTTAGCCTGGGCTACAGAAGTGAATAGTTGTGGCACTCATTTGGTGCAATTATAAAAACGTTTCATTTGAGATTAATGGGGAGAGGGAGAGGGAGAGAGAGAGAGAGAGAGAAATAACATAAGCAAAACTACGAACTTACTTGCCATTGTTTAGCTTTCGGTCATAAATATAGATAGTCTCATGTCACAATCCTACCTCAGCACCCTGTTGTTCCCTTAGTGCTAGTGTCACGGGTTAGCATACTTCAGGTTTTGCAGGCCAGATTCATAATTCACGCACGTTTTTATAGCATGCACTGGCACTTCGGAAGAGGCTTTAAGTTTGAGAACACCACAAAATTTCCAGTTATCCCAGTCTAATGAACTACCATAGGCCTATGTGTATATATATTCTTGAACGACATGAACGTTTTTACGTTTTCGCGCATCTGTATTGAAGAAGCCCACACGTCAGTCCCCGCTACACCTTCCTCCTTCCGTCGGAGTTTCTGTCTCAGTTTGGCCGACTGACATGACTCCCTAGATAATAAGACTTTCTAGAGGGAAAAGATCCAGGGCTTGCTTACAGGAAAGGAGGAGGGCACTATATGCACTGCATGAATTGATCAAGTCCATTGTTCTTGCCAATAAATTTCTGAAACATGCAGGACTCCGACTCCCTCCGTGGATCAATTACCGTGTCAACCCAAACCACCACCAATTTTTTTTTTTGGAAACAAAAGAAAAGAACAGAGATGAGGCATTTACATGATGGCAATGTCACATCTAGGCCTGTCGATTTTTCTTTTCTGAAACTGGGAGAAGCATAAAAAAAACTATTAGTTTCTTCGCTAAGAATCATGGTGTATTGTTTAGCGTGAAAGGTAGGGGAATCAAATTGGCAGGTGTCTCACAAATAATTTCTTTGGTGAGGAGAAATAATGCAACGAGGAGGGCTAACATGAGAGGGAGGAAGTGTCTTGGCAGGTGACAGACGGTCTGATTTTATTTTCTGTATCTTCTTCCCCCACCATATCTGCATTTGTTCTTACCGAGAAGACTTACAGTTCCCGAGTCCCTCCATTCTGAGTTGGAAGTAGCACCCAAGTTTATTTCCCTGAGACATCAGTAAGAAGAATGAATGGAGGGAAGAGTGGAACGAAAGAGCCACGCGCGATGATCACGGCACCAAAAAAAAATTCTACCCTTCCAGCTCCCTCGGTCTTTGCCTTCTGCACATCCACGGGTGACTGTATGTGCTGTGGGAATTCCTAGAAGCGTTACGGGAGAGGGAAAGAAGGGGGAAACTTCCTGTTTGTGGGAAGGGGGCAAGAGCTGTTCGGAGTCTTGTGGCTGCCGTTCATGAGGAATAGGAAATCCTCCATGCCTCGTTCCACGACTTACAAATCCTTTCTGAGATATTGGATTCTTCACTTTCCCCCCCTTTTCTCCTCTTCCAAAAAGCCACAAATGCTAGTGGGGGGGTAATATCTCCAAAAATCAGTTTTCGCTGTCAATCATCGTTGCTATTGCCTTCGGTTGAGGATTGGAAGATAAAAATCGTTATATTTTCACTTGGGTGGCTGCAGTTTTCAACGAAGCGCTGAATTGCTTCTTTTTTTTTCAACAAAGGCAATGGAAATTCTGAAGTGTAAATGGGCAGTCCATCCAGTCATTCAGGCCAGGCTATAACCCTGTTAGGTCTCACAAGGATCATTTTAGTTTAAAGTAAGCTTTTTTCATGCACAATAGGTAGAAAGTACTGGAATAAGAACATTATAATTTCAGCTGGAATCAAAAGAAGCAAAAGGGAAATGTACATATTAGGGGATAACTGTGAAGTTGCATTTGAAAATGATAGTCTAGCAAAGGGCCAATACAGAGTGACAGAAACAACCAACACACAGCATGCTGAAACTTGGGAGTCACTGCCACTTTCCTATCATGAGTGCCAAATATTCATTGAATTATTCTTGACATGCAGTCAAAAATAAAGACCTATGGCACTCACAAAATAAGGCTCAGATATTTCCTGAGGCTGAGCAAGATGCAGAAAGATCTGAAGAGAATCACATAGGCCTGCAGCTCAATATATCATCTAACAGCATGCCCAGGAAGTTATTTTATGCAACAAAAAGGGTGTGGGAAGAAAGATTATAGATGCCAAAGATCCACTTTTGTGCCTTAAAGACAATTTGAAGATAGTCCATATGTATTTTTGCAATTGCATTAAATGTATAAAATATATAAGACAAACTGGCAAAATCAATCAAATTAGACAGTGTTGAATCCCACACCAACACCATAGTTCAAAGTGTTAAATCAGAAATGGCAAAGAATTTTTGGAAATTGCTTCAGATATCTCCCTCCAGTCTCCATTGAGCCATGAACCATATGATCATGCTGACTCCATCTGCCTTTCTACTTCTTCCCCTCGTGTTCTTCTGGTTGTTTTCCATGCCAAGGTAAAAGATGTTTGCTCTGCTCCTTCTTACTGAATCACATCTGATCATTAGTTCATCCTGTCCTCATTTGCTCTTTCTTTCTCTTCATTTAGATTTGTAGATTGCAATACTCCTTGGATAATACATGTCATGACCTACTCCATTTGTTATTTGCAATTATTTTTTTAAACCTGCAGATTCAAAATAGATTCCCATAGATGCCACAGAATCACCAGCCATTGTTCTTTTATTCACAATGAAACTCCTCTGGCTATTTCAATCCTCACCATAGCTGTTTGGTCAGCCAGTTTGTTACCCAACAATTACTACCAAAATCAACATTAATAGTCTGAAAAACGGACCTAGGAGCAGCTGGATAGCTAGGACCAGGACAGATCCTTCTGAGAGGAAGGAATGGAACCATGCAAGAGCATATCCTTCATTCCATATTCAGAAAATTTAGGAAAAACAGTATGGCATAATATGTACCATCAATGGAATGGAATTCCAATTCCAGCATCATTAGAATAAGTATTTCAAGCAGGATTTTTGAAATGAACAATTGTGCTACAATGTTTCAACCCTTTCCAAAGCCAAACTGACTTGGGTAGGTGAGGTTATTCCATGCCAAGCTGATTAAAACAAGAGTAATTTGAAAAATTTGTGAATTTGATGACGTCAATAGCTTAAGAGGAGCTCCTTGTCTTCCTTTTTAATTGACCACTTTCAAAAGTTGAACTATTTAGGCAGGTTGCAGTGAGAGAAGGAATGCATATATATGCATAAGGGATGGGATCAGCGGCTAATAAATTTTCCAAGGAAAAACTGGGGCGAATCCAATGATTCCCTGATTTGTAGCTACCCAAGAAATGCCCCCGACCTCCAGAAAGCCTTAAATCAACCCCATCCCAGCTTATCACCTGACCATTGATGGTTGCTACCTACAAACATTAGAATTTGGCTCCTAGGCATGAGATGATTCAATCATATCTTAAATGGGATGCAAACACCAAGAAAACCAAAGCATCTAGATGCATTTGAGCCTTTAGAGCCTTGACACCTGAGCTCATCCTAGTGGACAGCCTATATCCACCCTGTTTTGGAGTATGCTGCCCCTTTATGGCACTAATCCCTAACTGCCACTCAAACCCATTTTTCTCAAACAAATTCAGATGCATGCTGTGCATCTTATCCTGAGTTCCAGTTACTCCTCATATGAGGCATCTCTTGCCTCCCTCAAGCTTCCTTCTCTGCAAGAAAGGAAAGCTATCCTCACTGTCAAATATAGTGCCTTCTTCTTGAGTAATCCTGACCGCCAACATGTTTTTTCCCCCTACCAGACCCCGACCAACTACAATCTTCACCACAACTTGACAAAGCTCCTGTGCAAAATTAAATGCAGCACAACATTTTTATGACTCTACTGTTCCCAGTGTGTCTTCAACAGAGCACAGATTGAACTAACGTTATGCATAATTGTCAATGAGAAAGAAAGGAAATTCAGCTTGACTGTCTGCTTTCAACTATTAATGGAGCTGAGCATACTCTGCAACTGACAAAAAAAAAAAAGTTGTTGAGGTGATCACAGGTGGGTCATTGACAATCTGCCCAACAACTAGCATGAATAAGATATAACTGTAGCCCAAGGAACAAAACCTTGCTCACACCAGCTACACAGCATAGCCTAGGGGTGATTATGCACAAGTTAGACGTAAGGCACTATAGCTTGTGTTGTGCTGCAGTGGCTTCACTTTCGATGTGTAACCCTGTTAACACGAGTCGACGATAGTTCAATACACTTGATCTTTGAATCTGTAAAATCGTAATGCGCAATCTTATGAATCTTATGGGTCTTATGAATTAGAAACGAAACCACAGTTGACGCCCTATTGATATGTTATGTAGATAAGATTATTTGACTTTACAATTTTCTATACTCCAGTCCGACAACCGTCCCTGGCACTTCCCATGCATGGGTGTCGGAATGACCATAACGTTAAGGCTACCAGCCATACACGATAGGCTAGGCTTTTCATGCCATTCAACGTCGATCAGCAAAGAGAGGCTCATTAAGCGTTTCTCGTGGCGTGTCTCGCACGAGGGAGATTTGGAAACCGGAGACACCTTCACACGACTCAGGCCTACAATATATAACGTAGACTTATGAACGACGAAGCACAGTGGGGTCTTGAATCATCACGTCGAAATTGATCCGGACTTCTGTCGTGACTCCGGCACGCGTCAGGTCGATGGCGAGTGATATCTTGCATGCTGAGCCCAAAGCTATTGGTGCTCGTTCCTCCGCGAGATGACAGCAACCTCGCGTTTTAAATGTTTCATCATGGCGATGGTCACTGGTCATACTATATAGGGGTAGAAGTCATGAGCCATTTCCTGGTCAGTGGAGTCAAGGCTAGTGAGGGGCCTCTAGCATAGCCAGCATTAGACCTTCTTATATTCTTTTATAAGGTAAATCTTCTTGTCTAAAAGAAGAAGATCGTTGTAGGTGGAGGTCTGGACCTCTTTTTAGGCTTATCTAGTTGAATTCGAACATGTTACACAATCGTTGCCAAACATAAGCAAGTAGGCCTAGTCTAAGCTCGATCCCCGCGGTGTTAACACATGGGAAAGGCTATTAGAATTTACGAACACCTAATGTGGGGGACTTTAATTTAAGAATGGAGACTTACTTGAGCCTAAACGAATTTATCACTCTCATTGGTACACTGTCCGTCAAGACATTCGTGTAATCACATCTTGTGATACTTGACATATGAGCATTCATCAATATTTGTAAGGGAAACGAAACAACTGGAGGCCTAGGCTTTTATGTACCTCATTGCTTTAATATGATTTTGAAAAGTTGGGTTTGAGTGTGGAAATGCAGAAAGTCTCTGATAAAGCACTTGGTATTGTTTATTTCTTTGGTTAAGGCTTAGCTCAGGCCTACTTTCAAGTGTTCTGTCAGCTATCATGTCATTGTTTAAGATATTGAAATTCTCATGGTCAAATGTCCTATGATGAGGTTGGTTGCTTCTCTTGATGGATATTGTCCCAATGTAAAAAGTAAATTCATCATTAAGTCCATGAGTCCTGATCTTTGAGGAGTTTCATGAGAATTAATATCTCTATGTTGGAAGATATTTCATTTTGTTTGTTCTGTACTGCTTCAACAGAATGAGAGAATCTGTGAGGATTTAAAATTGATGAGTGAGGACAGTACAGGTGACAGCTTACTTTTCAGTTAGACAATCAAATGTATTGTATGGCTTTAGTGAAAACAGAATATAGGAAAATTTCTGAAAATATTGGGCTACTAGAATGGCAAGGGAGAATTATGTCTGGAATAGGCCAAAATTCAGCAGTAGCTCATTGGGAAAAGATAGGAGATAAAGTTTGAGCAGATAAGTATTTACAAATTTTACTGGGTTACATGCAGAGTTCATATGACTAGCCCCATTTAAGTTGATAGTGTACCTCAATGTACTTTGTATAAGACTGAAATGGTAGAAGGCTTGATAAATGTCAAACTCTGATAGTTTGTATTATAAAATATCAAGTCACTAATCAAGGTCCAGAGACAGGTTTTTAAAAGCAATCTTTAAGAAGTAGGAGGTAAGTGCTTGGGTGAAGTAGGACAGTTGCATCAGTGGCAAGGAAGAAAACCTTTGGTGATTCATTTGCAAGAAATATGAATATTCAGGGATAATAACTCGGAATCCTATTGCTAAATTTATTTTTTGACTAAAGACACTGGAATGTGTCTATTAAAAAAAATTCAACTCACTCACCAATTGTAAACTGTAAATTACAATGTAGCCTACATCTTGAAAATGTAGTCAAAATTCTTGCTGCAGCAATATGATATGATAATGCCAAGGTATAGATCTAGACATCTGTTTTATTTCATTGAACTTTATTCCTGGAATATACTTAAGTCCTTAGTTTTCAATAAATGGAAGGTGAGATGAAAAGGCTCCATCTATCTGAGCAAAGGCAGATAAAAAAATCCATCGCACTTTCTTTTCCATTCATTTCTATTAAAGGTCTCAAATCAAATTTAAAGATGAATTAAACTCAATTCAAAATTTGTGAAGGCATGAAAAATTCATTGAAATTGTACCTTTTATGCTAGGTTTATTTGTTATGGCAAAAAGCCCCTTGGAGGTAAACTTTGCAGGATGAAGCACTATGCAGAATCTATTTACAAAAGCTAGTTCCTTTCCTAAGGTGTCCACTTTTAGCATCTAGTCTGTGTATAACCTAGAGTCTCAATTTGACTGTCAGAGCTATGGAGCTGTGTATGGAAAACGTCAATCCTGCATTATATATGGTTTATTCCATTTCTGGCTGGCACCCAAGGACAATTTAGTGCTTCAGGAGAGGCCTGTTCTTGTTGCTGGGATGAATCCGGCTAACACGCGGAATTACATTTATCTTTACAACTTTTACATAAATAATAGTTTTTCCCTCCAACATTCTTATCACGGTTACTTCCCACATATACAGAGCATTGAATTAAGAAAGAAGTTCAACCCACTCTCTTATCCAGTTTTTATATCAAGCGAAGAGGGAGTTAGCGATACGCTACTAAAGTAAAGTTTAATTTGCAGTCGATACCTTAAGTGTTTTAACTGGAAAAGGGGAATATTTTGTTCGTCCGAGAGTACGTCGCTGTTTTGTTCGCATTGAGTGGACGTGCTGACGCATTGCAAGCATTCCAAATTCATCTCTTGGAAGTGAAGAGTATGGGTCTCTGTCTGGATGCAGATGCCTTCGCAAGGACATAGGACGTGCTAGTATGAAAAGAAAAGCTTATTGGGAGCGTGCCGACACTTGGCACAGTGTCAAGTCTTCCCTCAGAGAAAAACACGTCGATGATGCGCTGGGAACGGGAACAGGTTGCTTTCATCGCACTAGAGATTGGATCCTTACGCGTGCCATGCCAGCAAACCGGATTTATGAGTGCTTTATGAATGCTTAGGTTTTCTTTCTCCCCACCCTCTGTTTTGTTGAAGCAATTTATTCCGCATTTGGGGAAGGGAGAAGCCACAAGAGTGCGCAGCGAGGGTGGTCTCATTATTTCATAGAGCACATGTGAAAAAGGAATCGTCGAAGCATTTGGCAAGCGTAATGAAGTCTTCTTGTGACGTGACCAAGTTTAAATTTTTTTGTGAAAGAGTCATTGATGATGATGAGCTCGTTCCCCACAGGTGGTCGCCCCCTGTGATTGGTGAAGAATCGGGTCACGTGACTCGGGAGGAGCGGGGGTGTACGATTGGTGTAACTTCCTCTCAGTGAATCTGCGGCTTCGCTCCAGTTCGGACGTTCCATTCTTTCCTCATGCCTCCCTAACAAGAGTGCATCATAGTGTTCGTGTGACGATCGCACTCGTGAAGTGCCGTCTTCCCCTCACCTTAACCCTCACTGTGATATAATTTATACATACATGCGGGCATGGAGAACATCGAGGTCCCTGAATTCAGAAGCATGGACGAAGAAGTCCGTTTTTGGAGGGAGAAAGCCCTACAGTACAAAGCCTGGTGAGTAGCTATGCTTGTTAGTCTTGTTTTAGCTCGTTTCCTCCTTCGCACGTCCCCTGCGTTACTCACCTGTCTCCAGATGTCAGTCTATTTTTGGAACCTTGGTATGAGAGATGATCTCGTCAGCACAGGGGAGCGTCAGAGTAAATCCTCTTGAGATGAGGTGACTCATCTCAAAATTAAACAGAAGTTAGTTGTGACGGGATACCCACCCAGGCCGGGTTCTGTCTGCCCATTTAAGGCAACGTTTTTCCGTTTTGTTTGCCTCCGGGTTGGCATGACCTTCCAGGAGGACGTTAGAACGTATTTCCTTCTTTCCACTAAGAAATTCATTCATCTCTGTCCCTCGACTCATAACTCCAACACCGTCGGAGGTTCTTTTTTTTTTCCCCTTCAATGGAGAACCGTTCCCTTGTCGTGACGAAGCCATCGGTCTCAGTCGGGATCAAATTGCGAAACAACAGTCATGCTCTGTGGTTGATGCAGCATGGAATCCAGAGGAAAACTCCGATACATTTTGTAACCTTCCCTCCACATTCCAGTCATGTTCACCCCCTTCTCCACTCGCTCAAGGTTCCAAACCCGATTTCCTCAAAAGGAAAGAGGACGGGGCCGTTGGGTCTAGACTGTAGGTGCATGCGGAAGATGTTTAAAAATACTCAGCTTGATTTATTATCTTGGGCCAGGGGCGCTTGACGAATGCAAAAGAAATGAGCTTCCCGTTGAACCGCAACTGATGAGTGCTCAGGAGTTCCTTTTCACAATGCAATAGAAATTACTCCATGATGTTGGAAGCATTCTTTTTTTTTTAGATTGGCATTTTAAAAGTCCTTTGCAGTATTCGTGGAAATGGATGTTTTAGGAGGCGTAAACCAATATTTTTGTTAATTATAGGAAAAATTTCTGATTGTCCCCCCGCCTTCTCCGCACTTATTCCCAATCCCGTAAAAGTCCATGGATAGAGGGGAAATAGTCTCCATGGTTCAGAAATACTCTCTTATGCATCAAACAGTCCACGTTTTCTCACGCGGAATGGATTGCGTGATGAATCTCTGGGAAATCTGTAATGGCGTCGGGACATTGAAGTCTATATAATGGTTATGACGGTGCCATAAAATCATCCGCAGCTTGGGGATTTTCCCTTTCATTTGAATGAATAGAACTTTAAGGATAGAGGAACAGATGCTGCGGAATCCTTTCCTGGGTCCTTGAAGGACCGTGAGAAAAGAGGCGCAGATGAAGGACCATGTGAAGAAATGCTGAGATTGCGTCATCACTCTGAAGAAGATCCAGAAGGATCTTATTTCCCACATCCGTCAACGCTCACTTCCTGGCGTGAAAAAAAATACATGGCGAGAGTTCTCTTCCTGGTTCAGCACCTGGAATTTTTTCCTCATTTACTTTTTTTTTCTTCGTGTGCATATTGACGGTTTCTTTATGCCTAGGTAGATTTTTTCCTCTCCGTTTCACGCTTCTTGGCGCTTCCCCCCGAACCGATCGGACGGAAGGGCGAGTTCAACGATTCAATCATTATTTCCTTTTTTTTTTGTTTTCTCCATTCATCAGCATGGAAGAGGTGAGGGAAGCGCTGGAGGAGACCCGGGAGGAGTTTGAGGAATTTCAAGAGGGTTCCCGGGCCCTGGAAGCAGAGCTGGAGGCCCAGCTGAAGCAAGGCGAGGATAACGCCAAGGAACTCCGAACCAGATGCAATACATTAAAATTGGACAATGATATCATCAGGGTCAGTTCAGCTCCTTTCCCTTCGCTCGTTTGCGTATCCCCCCCGAACCGGTTTCCACCAACTGGGGGAAATTTAAGTCTCAATAACGGTAGAAAGATTACTTTCGAAAATGCCAAAGCGCTGAGATAATTTATCCAAGATTAATGATGCGTCATCTTCAAAAATTTCGTAGCACGTAGTTTTTTCCCCGAAATTCTTGAGATGTGTGGGTGATTTCTCGTCCTTTTGTCGTTCCTTTCCCCCCGTCGCGACCTCGATCGATTTCGTCTCTTCCCTTCTTAAGATGACCGTGATAACGCTATTTTCGGAGACAAAAGAGTGTCCCTTTTTCATCGGATGCACCCTGCCGCGTTGGGGCAGTTTATATGCAAATGAGGCGGGTCTTGTTCCGGGGAGTCTGTCTCGGACCTCAGTTTAAAATGGGTCGAGAAATGAGCCGGTATGAAAATGAGAGGTTTATGAAGTTTATACGTTACCTCCTGTTTTGTATAAAGCTTCTTTATTCCATTATTTGAAAAATATTTCTGCCATTGATTTTATTTTTATTCTTCACCTTTTTTACTTGTAGAAGCACGAGCTTTCCGATCCCCTCTTCAGACTCACTCTCTTCATTCGCTTATTTTATCGCATGATTTTTGTATCCAGTTGAAGAAAAATAATAATTGGAACAGGAGAGGAGCTTGTAATATTCTGTCAACAGACCTCTTCAGGTTCACATGAATCAAATCAATGCGTACTCGTTTCCTTGTGACGTGCCATTCCATTTCATCCAGTGGGATTTCATGGAAATGAAAGAGATAGTCTGCGTTCGGTGAAAATCGCAGCCCTGATGCACCACCAGGTATGTTGTTTGGGTGGGCGTTAGTCCCATGGGGGTGAGCTGTCGGGTTTACTATGGGCGAGAATTTGTCTTCTTCCTTTATATGACCATGTCTGATGTGTAAAAATTGAAACTGAGAATGGAAAGGGAAATAATAAAAAATAACTACAGAGACTCTCAGGCCGTCAGAGGAGGGACTATAACTGCGTAGGTTAATGAATCAAGTTTGGGCCAGGCTGACGGCCCAAAGCAAAAGGGAGTAGCTAAAGCGAACATGTTTTGGTCATGAGGTTGCGTTTTACTACTTGAGGTCGGGGGTGTTGTCCATGCGAGCTTTGTCATGGAATCGGTGAAAGAGGTGTAGAGTACATCAGCAAAACTCGTATGCCTATAAAGGGTGGGTTGAACGCACGCTCAACCTGCTGGTTTTCATGTTGTGCCATTTTACCCTGCCAAATGTAAGCGAAATGAATGCCGAGTTACGCCTCAGAGCACTAGGACCATTTTGAGATTCCCTTTAGGCGAGGTGTAAGAGTCTCCCGATAACCCTGCAGGCCAAGAGTATGAAAGCCATTTAGCCACCCGTCACCGAGAGTGACGCCTGACGTATGTAACACCCTCTCCAATGTGAAGAGGTAATTGTTGATGGCACCAATAGGTATGGATAATTATGACGATCCCATGAACAATGGCCATAAGAGCAACTACAGTACTGCGCACCTCAAAATTTGAGGATGGAATTCATATGACCATATCTGTAGTTGCTCTATTGGCTTTGATAGGAGTGGAGAAACAGCCCGTTGCATTAAGCAAGTGGAGGTTCTTTGCACGTGGAGTTCCTTTCGTGGGTGGAGGGAGGAATTGCAGGTTGATGCAAGTGCAATAACAAAGAAAAAATTACCAAGGTAAAAATCTGTCATCGTCGATCACGTTCGTCGTGACCCGCCGAAGTTATTTTTTTTTTCTTTCCGCACGCCATCGTCCCGTTGTTAGTATTTCCCATCTCCAGGCTACGGGGCCTCGCACGTCTTATTAGATTTTTCCTCTTTTTTTTTTTTTCTCTAGCTCATTCAACGTCCCTTGCTCTCTGACTGGCCCCGGGTCGATGAACTGTTCCTGCCCTCTTCCCCCCATACGATATATCTCACTCTCACGTCGCGAACGTTTTCTCTCGCTGCATTCCTTAAAACGGGACTTTTGGCACACCCTGTTCCTGCTCATACGCGAGGATAAATACGGTGAAACACTCCATCGTCATGTAGTGTCAACTTTCTCTTTTGCAATCGGAGCTGGCAGATGCATTCCATGCATCAGTCACGATTTTTTTCTCTACCTCCCCTTCTAGTGTATCAGCTGTCGTTTCGTGACGTGAATTCAGTGCCACCCTTGATGGTCTTGAGAAGGTGGATATCTGGAAGACATGATGCAGATTGCTTTGTTTTCCACGCACTATTTCCTCCCCTGTCCTCCTCCCTTCTTTGCATGCCTTATTTGCTTTCCCCATTGCTTTCTATGAAAACGTAAAAATGTCTCTCTTACATGATGTGATAATGTACCCTATGGTATCAGATTGTTAGCCTCCTCTTCCTGTAGCTTCCCGTTTATTGAGAATGGATTGTTTAGGAAGACGCGACCCGCTTTGCTTTCATGATGAAAAGGCCAGAGAGGACCAATCGTTTCTTCTATCTTCCTCACTACGACATTTGCTCATGAATTCCGACCTTGAGTGAATCGAGTCCGCGTGACACCGATTCGAGACTGGTGTGACGACTTTTTTTTTTCTTTTACGCTGTATTCCTTTGCGACTCCGTATATCGAGACGGACGGAGGGAAAGGCAGAGTCCTTTCCTTCTTTTTCTCGTTTCCCTCTTCCATCAGATCTTTTTTCTTATCTGCGCGAATTCGGTCTGTTGATCAACCGAGAGACACCCACGGGTCACCGTTTTTTTATCCGTTGATTCTTTCACTCGGCTTTTTAAAGCCAAGCCAAAGCAAGTGAATCATTTTTGAAGGGTTAATTTTAGACATGCATGAAGTAATGGGAGGGCCTTGGCATGATTTGGATCCCTGAGAACGGGTCAACGAAATGTGGGAATTTTATTCGTTCTGAGCTTGGAGTAACGGGGGGATCGTTATCGGAGGTACTCGTACCCGTGGGGAAATGGTCACGTTTCCTCCATAAACAGCGCCTGGGACCACAGGGGAAGACACATGATTATTTGGCGGCAGGAAATCGCCTAGACTGAAGACCAGCTTCTTTCTTTTCCTTTTGGGTATCTGGTGCCTGGAGGGGGGAGGAATGAGACACTTCCTGGAATGACCGTGGCTAAACTCATGGAACTTTTGCCCCCTCCGGGAATGCCCGGCTTGTACCATTTAGAATGAGAGCATAATAGTGTCATTGTGAGAGAGAGGGAAGAAAATGTTTGGTTGGGCTTGACTTGACTTCGGGGGGCCCAGATGAAGATCAACGACCTCCAAGAATGAGAGACAGATGGTTTTGGTAATCACACTCGATTCCGACCCCTCATCACGGTTGATTGCATCATCATCGGCACCGTCTTTTGAGTGGCATTCTTTTTTTTTTTTAATAGAAGCACGTGGGCAATCCATTTCTTCGGTTGCGTCAACTTCACCGTCCCTAATTTCATCCGTGGGCTCTATCTTGAGTAGACAAGAGATTACTTGCCGATGGCCAGTCTTGCACCACTTTCTTGCTGTATGGTTATCGATTAATAATATGCACAGCCTTGGCTTGGGAAATATTGAGAGTGATAATATTGATAACTTGGACAAGGTGTGCGGGGATTATTCTTTCTTCGAAACTTCATTCGTGTTAACGTATTTTCTCTGTGCTGTCAGTCCTGCAGAAGAACTAAGTGCAATACAGGGCACTTTCTGCCATTTTCATCCCGTCAATGTCTGGTTGCTTTTGCTGTGGGTGCCGAGTTCTTAGTTTCAATTCTCAAGAAGATCCACTTCTGAGCGTTCTCAGCCTACAGTCTTTCTTTCATCATAGTCCCCGAATTGCGGTTATTTTGCCTCGTTCCCAATTTCCGGTCGTAGTCTTTCGTACGAACGAGTACAAGTACTTTCTGCTGTCCAGACACGGCAGGGTTTGGGGCAGCGCCCCCTGTCCTCGCAATGCTCCATTGAACTCGCCTCGATCCAGCCCACTAACTCAACTACTGTTGGATCATCACATAATCTTTCTTTCGTTTCTTTTCTTCCCAGATTTATGTCTTCATCAGCCCGTTTCCTGCCGAGAGTGTAGGTCAATTTCAGCTCTTTACAGTGCCTGATCACGAAATGTATCAGGGTCTTCGTTTTCTAATCGATCCAACACATGTCTTGTCCTGGTAACATAAATGGAGAGAGAGAGAGAGAGAGACTATTTGACCATGAAGTATAAACGAAGCATTGACCCTTGCATTGAAGCCAGGTTGTAAATGATTATTCGGGATCCAGGTATACGGGTCTCGTCATCTCATCGTTTAAAAGTCTCGTCAAAGGTTATGGTAATCCCTGACCATGGAGAGAAGTAAACGAATCTGGAGAAGCCCGTAATCTATTCCTTGTCCACACAGATCCAGCGTCGTTTCAGTGCAATCCTGAACGTCTCTGCGTTGGACATCGACAGGAAAGGGGAAAAAAAAAGTATTTCGGTGTGCCCATTTGACAAGGACTCCATCATTGAACCAGAGTCCTTGCCTCAGGTGTTACCTTCATTCTTGTGCATGTGACATATTCCTTTCCTTTTCGTGTTGTCCTTTCACATCGAAGATGGTTTCAGGTCACTTAAGAGTCCAAAAGGAACTTAGCGGAACTGAATGGCCTGTGGGTACCAGCATGGTCCTCTCTCCATGATGACACCTGGCGCACACTGTAGACAAACGGAGGCAAATGATACGTCTCCTACCGGTACGTGATAGGTCATCAGGTGGTGGGGTGTCTCCTTCCTTCTCCATTGCCCCACGTGTACTGGAAGAATGAAAGTGACTTCTCCAGGGATGAAAGTGTTGGACCTCCCGGGCCTTCTATTGCATGGTTAAAGGGGAAAAAGTCTTTCATTTTTTTCGAGACTGGAAAGATGACTGATGGAGCGTCAGTTGGTAGGAGAAGGAAAACCAGGTTGAGGAAGCTTTCATTATTCGGCTTCCTTTAATGGCATTTCGGCACTCCCATGTATGCAGTATCCCCGAAAGTGACTGACTATTAATACGCAGGCCTTCGGGGCTTCAACATCATGGATCAAGGAGAATCAACATGAATGCCTTAGTGTGTTCGATGTAACCTCACCGTGGAAGAGTTCTATCATTATTTTGCAACCGACAGTCGATGTTTGTGACTGGTGCGATTGCTCCCTCCCTGTATTTGTCCCAGTTCCGGGGTCATAATTGTCTGATGTAAAGCCAAGTGTTCCGTGAATGGATGACTCAGCCTCCCACCTTCCTCCTTTTTCTCGCGGCAGCTGTCTGCTGTTGCATAGCCTGGAACTTTATCATGAGCTTTTCTAAGCAAAGTCGAGGTGACCGAGGGATCTCTTCCATTTAAATCCGATTGAAAGAGACTTCTCTCCAACGGGCAGTTTCCCAACTTTCCTACGATTGTCGTCGGTGGGAGTGAAAGGCGGGTATGGGCGTTTCTCCTCTCCATCTAATCGGAGAGAATAGTGGGAAGAAGAATCGCGTGGGCACATTCGACTTCAGTCAAGGGAATTTTCAAGAGGAGAGGGATTCCTTATTTACTCTTGACCGCGAAGAGGTCGGAGAGTCGAGTAACCCACGCGATTCATCCCTGCATCTCATAACACTCCTTGTTTTATTTTTATTTTATAAATATTATTACATCCTGGTATTGGCCTGGAAACGTTTTGCTACCACTTCTTGGGTCTCTCCATTGTGCCATTTGTTTTCCCTTGTTGATTGGCCATGGAAGCGCTTGGCGGTCCCAGATCTAGGCCCATGGGGCAAGGATCAATCAGAGCTTTGTTTTATGGCTTCATCACGATCCAGGAGGGATAATTCCGGACTATTTTGACCTCAAGTGAGGAGCGGAACATCGTCGCGTTCATCTTTGCCCTCGTAGATTATTGTGATCCACATCATCTCCCCCTCTCGTTATCTTATCTCTATTGCGTCTGGGCGTATCAGGCTATATAACAAGCGATATCGTGTCCATTTATGCCTTGAAACATTTCCCCATTATTTTTATTATATCAGAGGGAAAAAGACATAAAATACCCACTGGATCGTATTTAAGAATAACCTGCTCCCATAAGCGTGGATGTAAGTCACTCTAGCATCAAAACCCTCTCGTTTGTGCAAGATATCGGTTTCGAAAAAGTGAAATACAAGTCGTGTCACCGTGAACATCGTACCCACATGCATTCGTATCCCGGCGAGAGTGTTACTCTTGGCCTACTAAAGTGGGTTTCCCCTCCGTGATCGATCGTCCAAGGTGAAACAACGATAGGAGCAGTCATGGGGCAAAGCAAACATTGAGTGGTTTGTAAATACATTTCATTTTATATCGCGTTTCAGTGGTTGGGTATATTGCACAATGAACGCAATTATAGAAGTATTGCACAAATTTGCTGTATTTCATTAACCCAAAAGGGAATTTTGTCACTCGTTTATTACTTTTTGTGTGCCAAATTCTCTCATCTTTTATTCTAATAGTTGGCAACCCGTCTTCTTGGTCAGTGGTCTTTCATGAGTTCATAGCTCTTGAACTCTAAATGAGCTGCCATATGGCGGAGTCATGTCAGCTAATTGATGTCTTTTCACTGTCAAAAAATTATCTCGAAGAAATAAGGCCGACCTAGGGATGCTTCGAAGGTTATGCGTGTCCGGTCATTTTCTTCCTGGCGTGTTTCCATGCTTAAAGGTCACAACGATGATCACCTGTAATTAGTGGTCTCGTATTTAGTGGTCCTCTTGCCCTCCCTTTCACTCTCAGAGAGGGAAAAAAAATTCCGTTGTCGATAACACAAATGGGAACCGGGAACCGGTTCACCTCCATGCAGTGTTGGGAAACAAGTCATTCCTGTCCAATCGTTTAGGAATTGCAGATATTTTTTAACTGTTTCATCCCGCGGCACGAGAATGTGGTAGAGATAGGTATGGATGTAGGACTCAAGGCAACAGCATCGTAATTGAATCCAGAAGTGATCTTAGAATGTTGAAAAAGTAGAAAACCAAAAGAAAAAGAAAAACGAATTAAAAGCTTAGTTTATGAGAATATTTGATTGAAATACAGATTTTCAACAGGAAAAATAAAGAACCAGATCCATGAGTAAAGAATGACAGATAAATAGCATGTAACATTCCAGTTCTGTGAATGTGGAATCATTTCCTGCATTGCTTCCTACGATAGTAGCTTTCTTCATCATCGTCAGCTTTTAGTTTGAGGAAGATGAGAAGCATTAAGCCTGACGTCCGCCTGGATTTTGATGTACATGGGAGATTGAATTTGATTAAAGTATTACATGCAGTGCTTTTCCCTGCAAATCATTAATCGCATGTATAAGACAAAATAATTGAATGCATAATTTTGTACTTTCAAAAGCATAGGTCCTTTGAAAAGCATAAATGTGGTTCCTCTAGTAATTGGATTTATTTGGACATCTTGAAAGAAGAAAAATCCAATTCAAAATTGAGGTCAAACTGAAACTTCAGAAATTATGGAGATCATGCAAAATGCCATGAACAGCTTTATTGCAGTGCTAATGGCGTCATTAAGAAGATTTCAAGGTAGTGATCTTTAGTAGACGTAATTTTCGGCTAGTGGAGCAAACGAAGCTTGTTACGCCTATGTTTGTGTGTGTGTGTGTGTTTGTGTGTTCTATGGCCCATGACAGATGCACACTGGCCAGATGGGGAGGGGGAGGGGGAGAGTAAAAAATTGTGTCATATGGACCAGTGGCCGTGGAATATGATGTGAAGTGTATACTGTGTTCCTCGGGGTTTTTTTTTTTTTTTATCTCCCCGTACCCACTGATACGAAAAAAGTCATGGGAGAGTTGGAATGCCCCGTTATGTGGAGGGGATGGAGCCGGATGGCACGAGACGTCAAGAAATAAGTAGGGTTGATGACTTCCATCCTTTTTTATTATGAAAGGGTTGTCATCACAATCATCGTGATCTAAAAAAAAAGGAGGGTATTCGATATCCGTTATTTTCTCACGAGGGGTCATTCCGTCTTGACTTTCAACATGCGTGTTACCCTATTCTGATATTCAGAAATATATATATATATATTTCTTTTTTTTTGTTTCAGGAACAGTTGGAGGTGATGTCGAGAGACATGGGTCGACTCCAGGATGAATTATCCGCCGTTTCTGCCATTCGTGACCAGCTCCATCAGTCCAAGAGGGACCTGGAGACTGAAAACGACGACCTGGAGAGAGCCAAAAGGTAATTGCTATTTAAATGCATATAACTGAAAAAGCTACATCTTCATTTTCTATGTATATTTTTTCTCTTTCCCTCTTGTTGGGATATCTTGGTTTCGGGCATAGTAATCCCTGTGGGATGACAGTGCCGAGGGAGACTGAAAAAAAAAGAAAAGTCATTCCTACCCCTGTAATGATTCTCTTTTTTTCCGGAAACGTGCGTGAGGTTTGGTTGAAGTCAGCGGAACGAAATAACAAAGGAACGGCATTTGCACACTTGCTTCGTGTCCGACCTGGTTTGAGGGAAACGACCCTCTGGTCCTTGTCTCGCCTCTGCTTCGATGCCTCCTTTCAATGCCGCATTCGACAAAATTGGACAAAAATTTGAATCGAGCTTCGGCGCCGTTTGGAGAAATTGGGGACGCCCTTGATGATTGTGGTTATCCCTCCTCGCTAGATTTTTCTTCTCCCCACCCCTCCCTCGCCGGAAATCCCTCCGCACTTGCTTGGCAAGTGTGTCACGAAGGACGTGTGAAGAGACAAAGAGATCACGAAGAGAGGGAGGGAATTAGGAGGATGAGAACTCGAGAAGAGAGTCAATCGTGTGGAATGTTCGAGGGAACGTGATCCTATTGGACACAAAGGCCTCACTTCGGTCTTTCTTTGTTCCGAGATTTCTTTCTTAGCATGAATCGACACTCAAGAAATGCATCGATTCTGTCCAGGCCTTTCATTTTACCTTTGCCTTCCACGAGGGAAGGTGCCTCACCAAGATGCCTTCCGCCAATTGATCCGAATGTAGGAGGAATGTTGCATATTTGGTCCCGGACGAGAGACTTCTGAGGAAAAGAATTCATGGAGTGTGACGGAGTGCTAACGAGGTCTCCATGTCATGTGGTAATACTTGAGCTCAAAAAAGTAGTTTGTTGGCATTTCCCGGAAATCGGATGTCAGCACCGTGCGATGACCAGTACGGAAAAAGGAGGAAGAGAACATTTTCATCGTCTAATGAGGGAGGGCTCTGTCACCGTGAGAGTGCAGTATTGAGGGAGGAACTCTCAAATCACGAGATGAGTGTAAAGACCGTGTTTTGAATGTGTGGCGTGACCGGTCCACGAACTAGCAATCATACTGCATTTTGTGCTGTCGCAAATAAGGGGGGGGGGGGGGGAAAGGGTTGATGTATGTGGTACTGTTGGGATCTTTCTCAGCCGGTGGCTTGATTGAGGTCCAAAGGTCACGATCTCACCCGCAATTCCCTAACCATACACTTGCATTGTCGATTACCCTTTCAAGGGGTCATTTTTCTCTCATACATACTTTTGCTTCCCTCATGAATACAGTGCGGAGCCTTTGAATACCAAGCAATCTGTCCGTGGTAATTGCTCCATTACTGCAGTGAGAATTTGTCTCCGCTGCCGTCATTGTTCATTCTTCGCATTATTTTCTTTTTCTTTTAATTTAAATGTGTATTGCCATTCTTTCGTGAAGAACGAGGTCACATGGGTTCCTAACTTATATACAAATCGCATACATCGTCATGGCTAAAGCCTGATTCATTTTTCTTTCGATGAAGGCTGCTGGTCCCAAATGAGTTTTTCGCTTTTCTGCCCTCCTCACAGTTCCTCTATTACGTCATTCCTGCACACGTTATACACCGATTCATGTTCATTTGGAAATATACTCGCATCCAGCATGGTTCTATTGATGGCTTTTCAGGACGATAGCGGCGTCGTTGACAGAGTTTGAGAGGAAGTTGAACGAGGCGTTGGAGAGGAACGCGTACCTGGAGTCCGAGCTGGATGAGAAGGAGCATCTGAAGGAGAATGTCCAGCGGCTCAAAGACGAAGTCCGAGGTTCGAATCGTTTCCTCGTTTAATATTTCTTTATAATACCATTCTGTATGCATTTTGGAGGGCAGCGCGTGAAAGGTAACCATTGAATGTAATATGCTTCGTGATCGCTTCTCTTGAGAAGATTGCGCTGGGTAATAGCATTCAAGGGGATCTTCACAGTGTCCTCTTGGAAAAACCCTGTCCTAACGAGTCTTCTCATATGAGTGATCAACGGTTCCAGATCTCTCAAGCACGTTGATAGGAGGTGTGGAGTCATTAAGAGGAGCGACTTGAAAAACAATGGCAACTCATCAGGGAAGGGAGGGAAAGGGGGAGGAACTGTCATTGCATTATCTGATGGCCTTTCCTTTGATGCTATCTTTCTGGGAAAAGCAGCACTTTCTAACGGCTCAATGAGTTTTTAAAGTAGAATAAGGTTTATAAAAGTTTCTGGTTGAGACTATGTCACCCATGGCAAGTTACCTGGTAGTGACAAAGCAAGTAAATAATATCAACCCCCTGATAGGCTCACGCCTGTCAGATTGCACCTCAGGTGCAAGTCAATATCAATGTGAAAATCAAAATGAACAATTTTTTGCTTGCTTGCCTGCTTCATATGTTGCACGAACCATTGGTGAATGTTGCTGACTTAAGATAACATAGAAAGTTGAGAAAATGGTTCACATAATAATAAAGGTATGAAAAGGTGTTCATAAAATTAGGCCAATTCTGGATATGACAGCTTTTGATGCTGGAGATGTAAGAGAATGAGCATTCAGAGGCAAAGAGGTGCTACATTGTGAGGGTACTGCTGATGAACTGAAAAAAATCATTTGCAAAAGTGAATGTTTGGAGCAAATTAAGTGAAACACATCTCATAGAACTTATCTGACTCTACATCCCAGAGAAAAATTAGGACTTTTTGTTTCTATATTTCCATGATGTGATGATGGCATTGATCTACCATTGAATTGTAATGTTCTGGGATAGACCTGAGGTCAGAGTTGCAGATCAAGCAGCAAGAAATCCAGAATGACATTGAGTCAATGCCCAAAGAGAAAGAGCCCACCAAGAGGGAAGCTGGAGAAGGTGCACCAACCAAGCCTGATCGTCCTCAGTCGCTTCTCTCACCCTCTAAACCAGAATCTCCGTCCTCCAACTCCTTCCACACCCCCAAAGGTTGGCCAATAATTTCATAATTTATTTTATACATAATGACTCTAAGGGGTCATTCATGAACCCATGAACCTGAATGAATTATGTTTTTAAAATCTTCTTTTCATGAAACTCTATCTTTTGAAAATAGCCTTTCAGTTTAATATAGATATTTTTAAACTGTGTTGCTGCTACTGTTCTCTCATATTTAACCTTTTAAGGAGTATGAACCTGCTGATAGCTTTGGTGACTTTACTGCAAAACTTTTTAAATGTATGATGTCATAAATTTTCTGACCTGACACAAAAAAGAAATCCTTGTCATGATTCATTTCATAGCTAACACAATATTCTTGGCAATCAGTGCAAATCAGTACATTCCTGGAAAAAACTCCAGACATGGTTTGTTGTATAAAAAATAATTTACTCAAAGGGTTAAAGAAGAATGCAAACAAAAGTACCTTTGCAACTCATTATAGGTGGCTTTGATGTCTTTCACCCAGGGGAAAAGCTGTAAATAGTGCAAGGTGCTAGGCATGCTTTTTTATTGTTGGCTTTATGTTGCCAACATGTTATTTCACTTAAAGGACAGGTCATTTGTGCAAAGCTTGCCGAAGCTTTCCTTTGAATTATATGCAATACATGCATATAATTCAAAGGAAAACCAGCATTGGTTGCTTTTATCTGACCTATCATTTTTCACATGATGAATCTTTTTTTTTCCAATTTCAATCTGGTTGAAGCTTTAATATTTGTAACAAGTAAGCAAATTTTTTACACAGATTTTATCTTTCTTTTCTTTTCTATTCATGCTCATTGGACATCTCAGTATATTTCTAAAAAAAAAAAAGAAACAATGGAAAAATGGGATCCAGAACTTAAAAATACTCCTCACATCATACCCAATGAGTTGCATAGGAACTGAAAATAGGTCTACTTTTTTAAATGTGTAGTTCACCCATAAATTCTTGGCACACATGTTCTGATGCAGGAAATCTACCCAGACATTTTCCATGGAATGGTAATAATGGAAACCAATCACTTGTCCATTTGCAGTTGCTATTGTCATGAATATCTTTAAATAGAAGTTTATTTGTATATTGAGTGACATACTTTTATTATTATCAAACCTTGAAAAATGGCCATAAAATGACTAGTAGTACTGAAAGGTACTGAAGTACATAACTTAAAAAAATGAAAATCATGTCATGTTGCAGGAGCCCTTGCAAATGGGAATGCCAATGGCCTTCTTACCCCATCAGCTCGAATCTCAGCCCTTAACATTGTTGGAGATCTCCTGAGGAAAGTTGGGGTGAGTGAATTCAAAGTCCATATATTCTAGAAGAATCCAGTTTCCACTGTTGTTTTCAGAGGACATATAAATGTAGATACCTATTTATATAAAATTAAATTTCATTGGGTAAAACCATCTAAGTAGGACAGTACCTATGTCTGAACACCATAAAATAAATTGTTCAGCACATAAAGCATTTGTGACATCACCTTCAAAAATGTCTCTTCCAAGCTGTGAAGAACTGTTTCTGAGGGGGAGCTCACCAATGCTTGGATGTATGTGATAGTGTCCAAAATTAGGTACTGTTCGAACTTAGATGGTTTTACCCTATGGAGATGTTGGGTTCCAGGTGAAACGTCTGCTCTGTGGAGTGTGTGATGTTCGGGTGTCTTGACTTCCCTATGTAGAGGCAGCATTCAAGGGTAGGAACAACAAATGGGTTTGAGTTTCAGTCAGGACAGAGCATGAGAATGACATCTTGCTCACACCTGGACTAACGTAACAGACACCAAAAACCACAAGCACAGGACCAAACAGATGGCAGTTATTTATAGAGAGGATGAAGTCTGAGCAAGCATGTTTTATTCTGCATGATGTTTTGAGCATAATACAAAAGCAAATTGAAGATAATGTATTTTCTCTATACAGACTGAGTTGTGGTGAGGAACATTCTTGAACCACTTCTTAGTATAGTTCCTGGTAAAAATGTTGCCATTTTTTTTGGCTGTGAATGCATCTCTTAACCATCATTTAAGTATCTGCTCTTATGAAGAAACTTGTTTCATGCCAAAGTATGTGCTTAAATTGATACATACATGGATGACCTGAAAGTTTCTGTCTTGAAGTGTAAGAAATGTGATAAACTCATGAAAAAATTTATTTTTCAACAGTAGCTCTCTGCCTATCAACACATGTACTATTAATGGGACTAGGCTTCATTCTCATGGAAATAAATCCCTTTTCCATAGTTGTATTTAAAAAAATGCTTGGATAGCTTCATTGGCTTCATTTTCACCTTCAAAATTACTTTAACCCTTTTAGTGCCATGCAGCTGATTTGTAGGCTAAAAACAATGATATATAATTACCCTGGCACTTGAAGAAGTTTTGCTTTAAATTGTACTGCATTGAATAAGCAGTTTTATTTGGATAACTAAAGCAATATAATTTTTTTTTCATCATAAAAATTGCATCACTGCTCTTCATTTAGTTTTTGTCATTTCGAAATTAAATAAAGTATGGCTAGAACATTTTTAAAATACCAATTAGTAATAATAAAAAAAGATATAGAGTGAAAACTAATTGGTGACCCTTGAAATTACCTAACATGGTTAAGGAATATGGGAGCCAACTTTCAGCCTTTAACTTTCCGTTTACACTAATTCAGGGAGGAAACTTTTGGATCATCCCTTGTATGTAATATTATTGCTTGGGCCACCTTGGATATGAAACAGTAAGTAGTGACATGAGAAAAGGACAACATTGATTTTAGTCTTACACAAGCAGTGAAATATACTCTATCCTCCAACAAGTTTTGAGGCACCCCTCCCTTCCAATGGGATAAGCTCCTAGCAAATACCATTTGATATATGGGTGGGGTGGCTTTGGGAACCATGTGTAAATTACATAATGATCACATGACATGGCCTGCATCATGTTTATAACTTTCATAATTGCCATATGACTATTGCAAGATGTCAAGTGGTGCATAGACTTTCAGCATAGAATGAGCCTTGAATATCATCTCAGTGAGAAGTCTATTTGTATAGCAGTAAAAATGCCATTCCAAAGTCAACTGCAGGCAATGTGATTGTGATTTGGAAGTCGGCTGGTACCATAGCAATTCCTCCTCACAATGGTTGACATCCAAATATCACCTGGGGGGGTGTAGGAGGACACTGAATTGGATAATTTCGAACAGTTGGATCAGCATCATCATAACACATGCTTTTCAAGAAGCTGCAAGGACATTGCCTGTTTGAATACAAGGTGAAAATCAATTTGTGAACTTGGATATCTGGATAGTTTGGTTAAGCATATGCACTTAAGCCACTAATTTGAAACCAATGGAAGCTTTTTGTTGTGCAAGAAACTCTGTCAATGAACTTGGAACAGTGGTAATGGAGTGGTGAATCCTAATTCTTATTATTTGAATCAGATGGACATGTCTGGGTGTTTGGTCTGCCATGTGGAAATTACCTTCTTGCGTAAATGATGCTAACTAAAGAATGTAGGTGGGTCTGTCATGGATTGGGACCAATGCTCACAATGACAGGACACATGAATGCTGTATGCCGTTGTGACTTCTGGACAATGCTACTTCACCAGCCCTCATGGAATTCTATTGTGATGGGCCACATGTGTTTCGGGAAGGTAGTGCTCCCATCCACATAGCTAGTTCAGTTACTGATTGACTCTGTGACAAGAATGTCAAGCTTTTGCTTCCATGTTCCATCCAGTGAGTTTGGGATGAACTTGATTGATGTGTCAGGCTTAAATCTCTGTGCCGACAAAACCTGGGACAGCTGTCCAGAGCCCCATAGGAAGAATTGAAAAAATACCAACTGTAATATTCCAAAATATTGCATCATTACATGTAAGTATAGTGGAGAAGGGAGGAGCAACACTATGAGTAGAGTGAATGCACATGGTGTCACAAAACTTGTTGCAGGATAGTGTGAGGTCATTGGGGCACATGAGATGTAGTTTCTCCAAGACTCTCCAAGGCACTCACCTTGAACCAACAGATGCCCTAATTTTCTAGTAGCTTGTTCCTGTGGTATAGCTTCTAGCTTTCAGCTTCAAGCTGATAATGTCTTTGCATGTTCATAAAATCCTATTTATTTTCTCTGCTTGCCTTCTCATTCTAGGCCTTGGAATCCCGGCTTGCTTCATGTCGGAATTATGTAAAAGACACCCCGCAGACCAAGACTGCTAACAATAGGGCTGAAACTCCCAGGTAGGCTTGAAATAACATTTCTGCCCCTTATTTTTCTTACTCTGCTGCATCTGCTACTATGATTTATTTGGTTACTGAGGCTTCAGGGCATGTTTGGAAAGTCAGACTCTCAAAGCTTTGCTGAAATCCTGAAATATCATCTGTATCATAAAACTAGGAACTTAATGTGACTGTTGGCATATATACTTATTCCCAGCATCCAAAAATGCAGGTTATGTAGCAGTTATATCAGAATACTTTCAGATCCTTTGCTGCATCTACTTGCAAAGTGGAAATTTCTGAATTTTGAATGAGAAAGGAAACATTCACTGTCACTTGGATGATCTATGGGGTGCAGTGGTGAGCACTTCAATGATTTCATGCATTAGCATAATTTATTCCCAAATCAACTGACCTCCCCTCTGCATTTAAAATGCACAGTGAACCATGCAGGTCTAGCCATCATGCTATAGAATGGCATTGCTTCTTTGATGAGTGGGCATATCTTGACAGTCAGACCAAAATAACAATGGTATACTAGTTAGTTCCAGTTTGTGTGTTATGTGGGAAGGAAGCATTGGTGTCCCCAACACTTGGTGAAAGGACTGTCAAAAATGCATACACTATCAAGATCTTTTATTTCCTAATTGTCCTTGTTTCATTTCATATTGTTTTCTGAAGCACAAGAGTAAAGCTAATGCCAGTTTTTTAATTATTCATTAACAACAAAGTAAAATTTTAATTTGAAAATCTAGTTAATTTTCATGAGGAAAGACATTTAATTGTTATATTCTTGAGTCTACCTTTGATAGGATTATTGCTAATGGTATCCAGGTGATGTATCTCTGAAAATTCATGTTCCACCTTGGCATAAACTGAGGCTCATTGCTCTTACTGTTGGGCTTATCTTGTTTTTTTTTCATACTTCAGCATATAACTTTTGCTTATCCTGAGATTGGAAGGATGGGTTGTCTTTCTCATGCTTTAAATTTGCCAAATGAGCTAGATCAAATTCAATACACAATGGGGAAATAGGAAGCTGCAATATGACATAGCTCCTTTTGTTTAATATCCTTTCATTAGCCTGTGGGGTTTGACAGTGAATTTCATATTTTAAAGCAGGGATTCCCAACCCAGTGAGCAATTGATAGTGTAAGAGCAATTGCTTCCTATCCACTACCACCTATCACAGCATTTACCTCTGAAATAAAACTGTATCAATGTGTTGACAAGTCAGCCTAGATGTGACCACAAAAAAAATTAATTTCTTACTAGTAGATTTATTATCTTTAATTTTCATTTACCATCAATTATCTATGTATTATGATCAGGATGCTGCTTGGAAGGGAGACAAACTGCATGCAGATTGAGAACCAAGCATTACACTAATATGAAAACTTTTTTTTAAAGAAACGCTTCCTTCTCCATGCAATCATTTGTGAAGGATCTCTGAAAGTCTTCTGGACCTTTGACAGATTTGCATTTTGCTTAAGATGGTTCTGAGTTGGTCCATCTTCCTCATGGCAATTCAAGCCTAATATGCAGCATTTCAATTCATTATACCATTCAATACCACTGCCATTAATTCCCATACCAAGTGGTATGTTAGAATTTTTCCAATGGTGATCTCTTATTAATTCCTTTTTTGTTTCTGTGCTCTGTATTTGAGTGCCTCATGATCTCGTCCAGACCCCCTTTGAAGATATTTATTTTAAAAACAAGGTCTAATTTTTTTAATATTTATTATATTAGGAGTCTGATTCTGATAACTTGAATGATTATGTGTATTTTCCTCCATGAGAATTCTGAATTTCCAAACATGGTCTTCAGTCTTTAGCTTGCATGCTCCAATTTAGAATTGTGAAATGCAAAACATAATTAGAGTGTATTACTCTTTACAGGGGGAAGCAGCGATTGCCTCGAGGCACATCGGTGCCAAATGTGCAAAACATGATCCTGGCATAGGGACATGTTTGCGAGTGATTTGTTGTGTGTGCTGTACTTGTGAATCATGGTGTGACCGTGGAAAAATTCCACAAGGAGAGTCTGGTACTGTTTTTGGTTATTCAGTGCTGTGATTTGGAGGTCCTAATTTTTCGTTTATTGTTCTCTTTTCTGCATATGTCATTCTTGTGTGAATTCACAGATCAAGGCAAGTGCCAGTCCTAAATAGTGCTTGAAGCCTTATATTCCAAGACTTGAATTTATTGAGGAGGGTGACTAATGGTATGTTTGATAGGGAAAGCAACTTGAAACACACCATTGCCTACCTACCAGGGCTGGTACAACGTGAGTGGTTGACGCAGATAGTGGTTGTATTCTGCTCCAAATTGGGCTGGGTGAAAATTTGCTTCAAATGCTTTTGCTTTATAATGGAATGTTCATTAACTTGCAGTCTGCTCTCTCCCTCCTGATTTGTTACCAGCTACACATATAGTGGCAGCCATGATGGTGCTTCATCAACCATCCTGGGATGTTTTGGCAATTAAGTCTTAGTATGTACCAAAGTAATGTCATGGCCTACCTGTTGGGATACCAGGAACTTATGAAAATGCATTTCAAGAAAAGCATTTTATGTCTGTTGTGGCAACTCACTGTGTTGTGTTGTGATTAAGGCTAAGGTCAGATTGATTAAACATCCAAGAACTGTGACATTTGTTTCCCTTCAGTACATGCTGGAATGGAGTCATGGAGTACTGATGCTCATGAAAAATTATTGGAATCCTGGTGCCATACTAAGCTGATATGATAAAACACCTTACTGATGCCACCATTGCCTACTGGCAGTTGTGATGAAGTTATAAGTGAACAGCCTCATGGGCTAGTTATTGAGATTACTGAGCACCTAAAAGCAGGTTGCGTAAGTGTGCAATCAGTAATGTTACTCTAGACTAAATCAAGGTCCAGTATAGTTACAGTTTGCCATTCCATCTGGAATGAAATTGAATTAGTGATGTCAAAAAACAGGACAAAGTTATTAATCTGTTTCTTCCATATGCTTCTCAAATGGATGGATTGGGCATAAAAATCACTGTGATTTTCTTGTCCAAACCATTATCAATTCAGCAATCAAGCTTCACTTCCAATAAAATTTAGAAACTTTGTTCACTCCTACACTTGAATTATATGGTTCCTTATCCCACTGTCTTATCAAACTGTTGGCTAACACCTGGTGTTCCTCAAAATGATAATATCAAGATAATCTGCGTCAACTTGCTTGCGTCATTAGCCCTGCCTACCTACTGGTACATATTGTACCACTGTTCTTAATTGAGATTTCATTGCATTCAGTGTAATAAAAGTTCCTGAAGTATTTGCATGCATGTCAATTTTTTCCTGGATTGTCCAGGGTTGCCCTGGCCATCATCACTTCATAGATGGTGCCTTTTGTTCCCTAAAACCAGTAATTTTTCAGACCAATCATTTATGTCTTTTATTATAGGATAAATGTTTGATTTTGTTTTTCTGAACAATTCTACTTCATGAATTTTGCATGAAAAAAATCAAAATAGCACATTCTTTTTGGCAGGAAGCTTTCTCATAAGGGGTAGATAATTTTCCCAATGATGAGTGAGTGTAGCACATCTTTCCAAGGTAAAGCTTCATGGCGTGGGAACACAATGGGAACAGAACTGGAGAGGGCATGCCAGAATCCATCTACAACCACCTGTATTCTGAGATTCACTTGGGAGTACCTCAAGGAAGTCGTGCTGCGTGAGAGTGGCTCTAATCTGATTCCACCTGTTAATAAAGGAAAGAGATTATCAAGGAAGATTATCCCACAATCAACTTAGTGTAGCATTATTACAAGCATCACCTGCTAGTTGTGGTGATCTGCAGAACCAAAGGAGAATGGTTTGGAGGGGAAGGACATTGAGAAGGTAACAGATACGAGACAAGGCTCCTTCCAGGCACAGAATGATCATGCGAAGCTAAAAAAATACAAATGAAAAAATTATACAACTTTAATGGAAGGTCAATAATATCCAGGCTAATGACATTCACTAGGCCCACAGAATGGCCAGTGTCTAACAGTAAAGATAAATCCTCATAAGAAACCCCTAAGTAAAATGTTTCTTTTTAAACACATTTTATTGAGATAAGAAAACTGCAGATGATACATAAATATCTGCTTCAACTCTAGATGAGTGGAATGGCCATGTGGGCCAGGCTGGCAAGTGAATACAGACCATAGGTGAATGAATGAATGAAATATAATGGTCTCTGCTCTTGAATCATACTGTAGACACTGGCCATGGTTAAAACTAACAAACCAAACACCCCAGATTCCACCTATTTTCATCAAACTTCAAATGCCATCCTGAGCCACCTGACTTTTTCAAGCTTGCCTATGAAAGATCTTATGGGGATTATTCCAAGATTGCATTCTATGGTGTTTGGCACACATCCAAGGAACATGGGTGAAGCAATGCTTATATAAAAATCAGTGTCGCAACTTTAGTACAGGAAAACCTCATTAATTTGACATTTCAGGGGACAAAAAATGCAGACTTGGAAATACAGGGTGTCCCAAAAGGTATGGAAACATTTTAAAAATTAATATCTCTCTAAATTATGCCTCAAATAAAATGATGAAAACAGTAAAATGAAGTGCAACTCAAACATTTTTCAACCTGCTATTGCAATTCCACATGGGCACCATTTGTGATTCTGCAGATGTCTAAGCAATGTTTGAGCTCTTACTATATACCTTTTGCAGAGTGTTAGGCATATTTATCAGGATAGCTCGGACAATTTTGTTCTTTGGATCTTGATCAATTGTCTACTTTCTCCAGTAAGCAATGTCCTTGGCATAACCCACAAGAAAAAGTCCTCAAGGGTTAGTTCAGGTGATCTTGGTGGCCATGGAGTGAACCTGCTTTGTCTAATCCACAGATCAAGGTTTTTTTCCATGCCTTAGCTTGCTAAAATGTGGAGTTGCAACATCTTAGAAAATTACACTTTTATAGTGCCTGAACCCTTCCCTCTTGGATTTTTTTAAATTGTGGGGCTATGTTAAGGGTCATTGTCAACTTTTCTCGAGTAAGCAGTCTCCAATCTGATCTGAAGAACAGAATTGTTGCAGCTATCCAACACTCTGAGTAAGGTGTAGTAAGAGCTTGAACATCGTTTGGACATCTACAGAATCACAAATATTGCCCATATGGAATTGCAATAACAGGTTGAAAATTTTTGTGCTGCACTTCATTTTACTGTTTTTATCATTTTATTTGAGGCATAACTTAGTGAGATGTTAATTTTTTAAATGTTTCCATACCTTTTGGGACACCCTGTATGTGGGTTCAAATGATCTGATTTACTCATTTTTATTACTCGTATTACCTAATTAAATCCAGATACCCTTTGATTGCAATAAAACACTTTGTGTGCAATAATGGAAACCCATAATATTGAAATAAAACAAAGTACAGTGTAAGCAAGCACAAACGAAAACCCAGTTTCAATTCTTGTAGACTTCTTACACTACTGTAATTACACAACACACTGGTGTCAACAATAATTAACTGATGTTACATGGTCAATGCTGCCAAGTCAATACGAAAAAAAAATTATACATCACAAAGGGGGGGGGGGGGGAAAATAAGGGGGAGTTAGTCTATGTTCAGAATTCTGAATGACAAACTGATGTTTCCAAGAATGTGATTAGGTGGCCTCACAGCCGGTGCACAGAATGCATGGTTTGTGACAAGGTCATCTGTTGGTGGTAAGAAGTAATGCCTTTCAAAGTAAACAAACATGTTTCTAGGAGAGACCAGAAAATGCCTTCTAATTTTAAATTTGCCCTATTTTGAAGTATCATATAGAGCACATGAATTGCACTCCTCTTGGATGGGGATCGCTAATGATTTTGAGGTGCCCAATGTAGAAACTATATGAAAAAAAATTAATGAGGTTTGCCTGTACATGATTTTCAAGTGTTTCCAAATGGGACAATAATATATAATGGGATTAGATAAAGCAACAGTTTCTGCCTGGGTTTGGTAACAAGAGGTTTCTTAGAACAACAGAAGCAGTTTGGGCTCAGACATGAAAAACTTGGCCCATTCCATCTCTACCATACCTCTATTATTTCTCCTGAAATTTTCAATGCCTTTTAAATGCTAACAGCATCTGTCTGGAATAACTCCTGAGTACTATGGGTTGAACCACTCAAAAATTAAAGAGAGAGGAGACATGCCCATAGCAAATGCCAAAGTTGATTTTAAAACTGTAGTCATGTCACAGTTCAGTTTCAATTCAGTTTGAATTTTACTTCAGTTGCAATAACATTTGGGATTTTGACATAATATATAGGAGTTATTGGTAAGCATACTGTGAAACTTCAGTCAGACCGTAGTCTGAACTGAAAATAGAACCAAACTGCAACTGAACTGGTGCTTTGAAATCAGTCCAAGTTGGAAGGCAGGGGCAGCTGACTTAATGACAATTTTTAACCAACCGTGACTGAGATTCATTGAAATGTAATGTAATTGAATGTAATTGAAAATGTAATGTAATTGAAATGAAATGTTATTTTCACACCTGTAAAGAGCTAGAGTAGAGCTTTCGATATATGTGTAATTTTTTTTACTGTTACTATACTTCAAAGTATTTTGAGTCATTCTTTGTGAACCGAGTCTTTGTCTGACCTTGGCCTGGGCTGTAATAAAAGAGAACTCACTGAAGCAAACACAATGTAGTAGACAAGTGCTGTTGGGAGGAGGAAGAGGAGTACTGTAAAACCTAGAGTGCCAACAAACAGCTGGTCCACATCATATGAACAAGAATCCACCCGTTCCCTGAGCGGGTTCCACTTTTTTCCTCTGAACAATCTCCACAATGATGCAAGTGCTGCCACTAGTAAGTTGTATAACCTGCAACAAGACCAAGTTCTTATCTAAACATTCTTGAAAAACAGAGTCTAGTTGACTGAGGCATTATGAAAAATTGTCCCAAATGACGATGGCATGTTTTTGTAAATAATGCAAAATAGATTAAGAAAACCAAGAGGACATTGTAATTTCCACTGGTTAGATATGAAATGCATATCTTATATGATGAACTATAAACTTGTTGATTTGGTCTGAGAACTCAAACACCTGGCAGCATAGACATAGAAGCAGTAGACATGGAATGTGGCCAGTGCAAGGAGATCCCGAAGAATGCAGATTTGGAAGCTGACTCCCATGTGACCCATAGTAATCATTACTCCAAAAAGCCATAGCAGCATTGGACGAATGACCACTAGAAAAATAAAGGATAATCAAAAGGATATGGATGCCACGATATCTGCTACCATGCACATCAAAACTTAAACTTAAAACTCACCTATATATGTCTTCCACAAATAAATGTGATAAAGGAAGAAATTCCCCAATGCAGAGTTTAGTGGGGCATTCAGTTTCAGTCCAACTGGGACTCCCATGATCCAATTAAGCACATTTTGTAAATAGCTGACCACACTCTAGAGATGAATAAATAATATTAAAAAAACAGCTTGATTCATAAAGTAAAAAATGAAGATGTTCACTTAATCTAACAATGCAGGTAGATATCATTACATGAAACAGGAAATAGGGAGAGGAAAATTTGATTTGTGACAGTAGCAATCAATGATTGACTCAAGCAAAAGTATGAAAAATCAAAGGCATATACTCACATCTGCACATAGGAGAAAAAAATCGAGCAGATCCCTCTCAGTAAAAAGGTTCTGTAGATATTGTACGATCCAGTAACCCATCATCACATCCAGAGCTGTGCATGCCACAAAGTTGATGCCACGAATCCTGAATCTACCAGTGAGATCACGCATGGCTGATGAAAGCTGCCTCACTTTTGAGTACAGCTGACAGAAGAAACTGGAGACAAACCATAATGAAAGCAATTTCCCAAATGTTAAATTCTGCAGCAATCTGATCTTTTGTACTTTTATACTTTGTCCATCTCTAAATGAGTCTTTTCTTGTATTGTCTGATTCATGCCTGATGAGTTGCATCAACCTGCAGATAACTGGGCTCTGTTCCTTCAAAAGCTGTTCAAATGGACCCTGGGAAACAAGGAAGTCAGTTGGGCTGTAAAGCGAACATGTGATGTCAACTGAATCCAGCTCGATGCCATTCATGAAAACATCCAACACTACTACATCACCTCCTGATGTGTCCATCACCACAAAAATGTCATTCTTTGGCATACCATTCACCACTGTGGAAATCCTTGATCTTCTTGCCTCAGATGTGAGAAATCCAATAATAACATCTTGATGACTCAAAGCTCCTGCTTCTTTGTTTTTTTCATGAGAATGACCACTATTTCCCTTTGTGGAAGTCACATAACAAACAGCCACTGACCCATCTTTCTCTGTTTTTCCATACAGAATTGCATCCACAACATGGTTGAAGATGTCCATGGGAGCATAGATGTGAATCAGATTCATTGAAGAATTGTAGATGACTAGGTTAATGGGAACACTATGGCACATGTGAGGATCATAACAGAAAGGGCTTTTCACAACTACAACTCTAATAATGGCACTCATATACTTCACATGACTTCAAGTTTCTTTGCTTTCTTCTTAGCTTGTTCAGGCTGCTTCGGTTCATAGATCACCAATATCTAAGAGTAAACATCAGCACATGTGTAAAAAAAAATCATTTAGAAAAATGCTTCCACCAAACCAATAACTTTAGAAACCAAACCTAAATACCTTAAATTTGTACACTGCCCCTGGGCCATATCAAGAGGACTTTTCCTCATAAGACGAAGGGTGAAGTTTCCTGTCAACATCTCAGATTCACTAACAAATGAAACGTCACCAGGTCAAGAGATGGCAAGGTGTGACTTAAGAATCCCCTCGCCCACATTACCCATATATGGAGATTCTAGCACATCAAATACCAGGATTACAATAGGATGCACAAAAAGAAAGCAAAGCAGAGGATCGAATGAAATTAAAAAGAAGTTGGAAAATAGCAGATCCTTCTTAAGACTTGCACTCATCCTCTTAATCACTCCACCTAGGCCTATGAAATCTCTTGCCCCAATAAATATAGTTCTTTCCAAAGTCTACTCTTCTTCCTTACTTACAGAATCACACGGAAAAAATGTTTAACTTAGAGACCAAACAAGTTCACTCCGACGATGGCTCATTTACCAACAAATGAGTCTTCTTTCTTCTATCTTAGTTTTTTAGTCATACCAATCCAAATGAGGCAACGTCTCGAGCATTCAAATCTACGTCTTCATGTTTCTCTACATTGCACATCTCGCATGTTTGATATTCCACTCTCATTCGTGTATATCTCGAACTTAGAGCCATTCTTCACTGGCTCCCCTGTGAGAAACACGTGGAGTGTTATGAATGAGAATTTATCTTCATTGTTCATTTATAGCGCTATTCCGCGTAAAGACAGGAATGTACATGATATACATTTTCAACATCACATTCCAAGTTTTAAAATGCTAGACTTCGATCTGCTGGATGTTATGAGAGATTTCCAACGTTGCTTCTTCCATCCGCGTTCAACCCTGTCTTATCATATCCACTGACCGAAGAAAGCATGGCGCTGTGGTAGTCACATGATGAAACTATGCTACAATCCTTTCGATATGGTAGCTTCGACGATATCACGAATATCTTGAGGTGAGTGGTCAGAGCTACAGTTAGCAAAGGCCATGGAGGAGACCGCCAGCAAAGTTCCCCTTGCTTCTGGAGAAGATTTCTTGAACAGTTATCAAACGATCGCCTCCAAGCTTAAAAGGTTGGTAAATGATAGTCCCCCGTAACATTTTTCTGGATTGTTTGCACAGTGTTTTTCACTTGACTCGGACATATGTGCATGAGACGTTCCTAACGCATGAGTGTTGAAGGCAAGTGAAAAATACTGTAGTTACGAATGGTAGCTTCGTTCTGACGTACGAAACGAGTTTACTACTAGCCATTAAATACTAGTACAAATACAAATAATATTAGCCCTAGATAAAACCGCAGGGGGATATCATTAAGTTGGAGAGCCTTCTCAATTCTTTCAGTAGGCCTACGTCTAACAGTTCATATCTCGGCTGCTGTGGTTCGGGACAAGCTTTTTTTTCAATTATATCATGATCTATTTACTGGTCTAAAGTGCGAAGTTCTGAAATCTCTTCTGCTGCTTGTGGATGTCCTTGCCTAATTTGCAATGTAGGTTTTGGTCACCTTTTATTGTCAGGAAAAGGCACTTCGTAAAGCTGTAGTTCACCAGCATGCTTCCTTCATTAAACTTACTTATTTGAGGCTCAACTGTCATGAGAGAAATTTATGGAAAACATGCTATCTGGGATGATATGACTTTTTACAATTCTGGAGATTTAAAGAAGGCTTACTACATCCTTAAAGTAAGTTCTTCATTGTCTAAAAGAAAATCATAATAGGAAAAGAAATGAAGTTCTTAGAAGTCACATTCATCAAAACCTAGCCATTAGTTTTTGCTCGCAGGCAGTTGATGTAGTTTGGATTTGTCTAACTTGATACTTTCAGTGTTATCAGTAGGCCTATTAGGGGCCCCCAAAAGGCCAAGAGACAAATCCATTGATATAGCACTTCTTGGTTCTCTAGTTTATGCACTATGTTGGTCTCTCTTTTGGATAATACTCTTATGCACTTTAAATATTACTTTAAAAGGAATATAAACCTGACTCAGGACAAATCCATTGGTGTCAGAAACCTCATATGTAAAAATCAACTGGTGAATTAGCATGCCAACCATTTCCATATTCAAACAGAGCATGTAAGAGGAAAAATGAAAAATTTTCAATGTTCAAAGAGCATGGAATCTTCCTTTCCACATGTATAAAAGGGAGATTCCATTCTATTCAAACATTGCAAAATTTGTGTTTTTCCACTTACATACTCCATTAGAATATGGAAATATTCGGCGTGTAAATCTAAGGAGAATTTGTAGTCTTTAGTTCAATTTCATGAAGAACTAGAACAACCTCAGATAGAAAGGTCCCTAACTGCATACCAATGTTAACAGAATCTGGGAAGTATGGGATGGTGATGTGAAAGTGTTTTGGACCTGGACCTGTGTGAGTAGAGGGAGTATATGCCTATCAATCTTGGATTTCATTAGCATTAGTGAGCATGAATATGAGTTACAAGGGTAGGAAGTCAGGCCAGTGTCATTTTGATTCCCACTGTAAGGTGATGTCATGACTTATGATAAGATTTAGGGATGTGGAATTTTCATAATGAGCATCAATTTGAAAGTTTAATTTGATTTTTTTTGTTGCAGGAAGTTTCTCCGGAAGCCCAATGTTTCCGATGCTGAGGAGGAGTTCAGTGAGTTCAAATGACTTTTCTTAATGAGTCTAGGTCTCCTAGGCCAGGGTGTAAGGTAAAAAATATTGGCTTGATACTTGACTTTCACACAAAATGACTACCTGATGAAGACTTGGGGATGGCATAAGATTCAGGAGTTGCAGGTGGCTGCCTCCTTTAGAGGTTCAGAGCCACTTACACCTGCATGCACTTGTGTTAATGAATTGATGGATGAGGCCAGAGGGGGGATGGAGATTAAACAAGGTGCTACAGTTGGGACCTAATCAGGTGGGGAAAAATAAATGGAATGACCGGTGATGGTAATTAGGTGAGACATGTTTGGGGTGGATCAAGTCATTTCACAACCAACTAGTCATGATAGTTCTGTGGAAGCATATGAACCTCCTTTTCATCTGACGTGACTCAACATCCATTCCATGCATTTCTGCATTTGTACTTCACAGTTATTTCTCATTATTTCTTTAAGTCTTGCATTGCAGCTATATGTTACATTTAATGTCTATTATGTGAAAAACTGAGATTACTTATAATCTCAAAGATCATCACATCACATCAAGAAATTCCATTAAGTCATTACTTATAAAGACTTAATATAATTTTTTAAATGCATTTTTTGCTAGCAGTACTGGTTGTGAGGTAATCAAGCCTTGATTACCACAGCAGCTCACATGGTCTGGCTTCCCAAAAATAAGGGAGTTAGCAGTCATTCACCCTGGCATGTATTGAGTAGCTGTTGGTCACTTCATGGAAGGCACAAGAGCACGAGTGTTGTCCCATTCATTCTTCATAATTAGTGATTGTGGTTAGATCCTCTATAAGCATGTTTTTATTCCTTTACTTTAATGTCATGCCTGTTTTCTTAAACTTTAGCAAGGTAATGCATTTTTTTGAATGCCTGTCTGATCATCTTCAACCATATAAAAATAGTTTATCTCTCCATTTAATTATTTGAAAATTAGGATAGGACAACATATCATCAGGGATTGTTCTTGTTTTGTTTTATTCCTACCTGCAGATTCCCTTGCAAGGCAACTGGAGCAGCAGGAACAACATTCCCATGCAGCTGTATGTCATTTAGCAGCTGCCAGATGTGAGGGCACATTGGGAAACCCTTTTGGGGAAGCAGAATCCCTCATCAAAGGAGCCAGAGCCTTTCTGGCAGCAGAACAAGAGAACCGGAAGCTGTCACTTCCAGCTCAGGAGGAGCATCTTATGGCTGCAATGAGTGTGTTCAACCATGCCATCAAAGTATACTTGGAGCAGAAGCAAAAACTACTTGCCAGCAGATTTTGTCTGGAGCTTGCCAATGCCTTAAAGGAATTTGGAAAGCTAAGGGAAGCCCTGGCATATTATCAGAAAAGCATTGAAATGGAAGATAATCAGACTCTTGGTCAACTGAACTCACAGGAGTTGGTGGCTTCGTGCTTCATTGAAATGTGTGATTATCATGCAGCCCTCAGTACCTTTGATGGAATGAGGGGAACTCTGGATGTGATGAAGGAGAATGGAGTGCATGAGGCCCCCATTTCAGGCCTTTTACGAAAGTGAGAAGAAACAGTGTTAGCTGTTATTATTCCCTTGCATTTTCATTCAATTTTGCTGTCTTGCTTTTGCAGGTGTGAAGTAATGCAAGTGCTGCTACTTTTGCTCCTGCAGATCCCTCCTGCTCAAATGAAAAAGGAATACTCATTGTTGTTGAGCAAATACACATTTGAAGATGAACCTTTAGGTGAGCACATGATTCCTGTTAATGATTCAGAATCGTGGGTAGGACAGAAGTAAAGAGACTTTTTTTCCTGAAAGCAGATACCTATAAGAAATTGCTTTTGAGAAAGCTTCCATTTGCAAATTTTCAGGAGTTAAAAGTAGACTGAATTATGATTATTTCCTCCTTGGACAATATGATTAGTAGGCCTGATAAAGATACCCTTGTTAGGATTCTTTGAGGTGGCAATATAATTCCAGTCTATTTCTTAAAGTGTGATGACTTGTTGCCATTTAGGCTTATTCTCAGATGGAAGAAGTAATCTCTTTCAACATGGATATTAAAATAATGTTTTTCAATATTCTCTTCTGTATGAACCAGAACTAGTGCTTAGATACCTAGTTGCAGTTTTCTTGCAAATAGATCTTTTTGCATGCCTGTTATTTTCTGTTCAACTGTCAAATCAGTGCCCACTATAATTACTTTTCAGAAGCCTACTTGAGTGAAGATTTATTTCATTGTCTTCAATCCCTGGTGCTGGCCTGCCAATCACAGGATCTCCCTAGTCTCCATAATGCAGAGGCTAGTCTATGGCCCCATTTGACGTCTCTGGAAAGGGATCTGGTGAGACAGGTATGTGCTGTGGTGGAAAATGGACCAATAGCACATTATTCCCCATTGCCTTCATCATTATGTCTGTCAACTCATGGTTCCCACTGTCCACCAACTGGCTCATCTTTTGGAGAAATCATTGCTATTCCTGAACTACAAGATCTTGTATTTTCCCTTACTGCTTCATAGTCTGACTAGAGATGATATCTTGGGTGCAATGTTTTTAAGTTAACCTGGTGATGATTTTCCCTTGCATTCAAGCTACTCTGATTCCTGCATATAGTATTTTTCCTCCTTAAGAGCATTAGTTTCATGGACAGCTCAGGCTCTTTTACATCCCATTGGCTTTATGAGTTCATTGCATTTAAACTTGGGCAACATTAACTGCACCAGTTCTTCATAGTGTGAATGTTTTTTCTCCACATTTCTGGATGCTAGTATGCAAGTGCGTGAACAATTTTATCAAAGAAAGAATGACAGTAATGTGTGATGGCAGCCCATTGTGATTGAAAAATGAATGTGACCATTGGAACACGTTTTATTTATTTTGAGCACAATAAAGTATTTTTTCCACCAAGCACCCTCCTTGAAACATGTATACAGACTGTGATTAATTCCTTGGGTGGCTGGATAATACAAGAACAACAATGCTAATAATCTCTAAACTAATCTGAGATCTGTCTATCCATGAGCAAAATATATATTGTATGTCCATTCAATGCCCAAGGGCTATAAATCACAGGTTGGAAGCTATAACAATAATTACCATGAATCACTGGAAGATCAGGGTTTTTATATAATAGGTTTAATAGGGGGGTAAATCTAGAATGCCAGAATTCTTATCACAGGAAATGGCATGGCATATAGCTGCTATTGCTAATAGTCTTTGAAGCTCATTCACTCTTCTCTCGAGTTACAGTTTTTTGTGTTAGGTGGAGAAGAACATTTCCAATGCAAATTGCAAGGATGTTAGTCACTGGGACACAAAAGTAAACAGATGACCAGAACTGGAAGACAAGAGGAAGTTTCAACAGGAGGAAGCCAATGGAATTGTAAGAAAACCACAGCTGTTTTCCAGCACCCAAAATTACACGGAAGCCAGTCCATGCCTGTGGAATACATGTTTCTGATTATCTTGAATTGTCAAAGTATCCAAGTCAATAAATGGGGAATGAATAGACTTACCAATTGAGATGCCCCCCACCTAGTGAGCAGTTTCTCAAAGATGTCTTCATAGATAAACATGAGAGGAGCTCCACACATGGATAGGAAGTATGCTGGTTGGATGCCATGCCAGAGAGCTGACACACCCAACGTCACTGCAGCCCTGTACAAGTCTTTTCACAACTTACTTTCTAGCTCTGCTTTTCATCAATAAATGCCACCCTCATAATATCATATGGAACTTGCCTGATGCTGCGTGGACCCTTGAATCTGCTGTATACGCAGGAAGCAAGCCAGTATTGCACTGATAAATTCCAGGCCCTCATAGCCTCCTTGACTGAACCAAATTCCGTGGCAGCCAAGTCAACATTCCTCACAGTCTCAAAGTTGTAGAAAAGTGGCTTCCCCATACTTGCTAATCTAATAAATAGAGAACCTGGTAGAGAAAAAATTAATGCAAAGTGACAGACGCAATACAAACATACATACCTATATGCTTCAGTGCGGTCAGAAATCCCCTTCCCAGGTTTTGGGTTCAATTCCACTGGGTATGCTCCAAGGCCAGCTGTAATGCATACACTCTCTGATAAAGCAAATGCTGCATAGAACCTCATGCGAAACTTGATGAAAATGAAGATGCAGTATCCTAAACGGTGCCAGAATGAAGTACTGTTGTAGAAATCAGAAGTCACCATCACCTGTAGCAAAGAAATTTAGTAAGATGTACAGCCCCAAAAAACTTCAAGGAAGTTCTTGCATTGAAATTTTCTCACCTCAAGAGGATACCACCTTGAAAAAAGAATGTACAAGAGGACTGTGAGGGGTAAGGAAGACAAACACTTGAAAAGGGGGCCCCTCACTTTTGCCTCTTGTGAAAATGGGAGGTTCAGCATGTCACAGTAAGTATTATACCTCACAAAGGGCCCTGAAATAAAAATTAATAAATATGAAAATGCAAACCATGACCATGCCTAACTATGAAAACCAAGAGCCAACCTGTGAGGATCCCAATGTAATTGAATGCATAGTGCCATATTTCCAGAGAATTTGGAATATGTTCCAATGGTGGTTTGGAGTGCTTGGACTTCTCTTTGGTCTGACTTCTTTCTTCCATGGGAGGAATTTCCCTGACTCCATCAACTTTTTTACGAATAGTTGCTCTTCCCTTGTCATCCTTTGTAAGGTCTGCATACCTTGATGAATTTTTATTATTCTCTGATGTGTCAGCTAGTGGTGCTTGCAAAGGTGCTCGACTATGTTCTGAATCCTCACCTACACTTTCCTCTGACTTCACCTCTACTTTGAGAGCTGAGCTACAATGAAGAATCTGGCCAGTTTTTAAAGTAATATTGTCATGGATTTCAAATGCCAGAGACACCATCTGTAGCAGATAAATATACAAATGATCTCAGTCTACGCCCCTGGAAACAAGAATACCAGGATTGGTGGATGAGGTTTACTTACCCTTAGGCAGAGGAACATCAGTATGATGTTAGTGAAAGGAGAATAAGCAAGCCCAAAGCCATATATGGTCACAATCCTGTATGATGACAGACCTCCAAAGGAAAAGGCAAATGAAAGCCAATGGGAAATGCTATCACATGGAAAGAAAAATAAAAAAAGGAAGCTGAGATTAACATCTTTTCCTCATTTCACCACCTAATACAACAAAGACCTACATTTAAAATGAACTCACGTGGAATGGAAGTATTTCTGGAGACATATATTTCCAATTACAAAGCCAAATGGAATGATTGCTTGTAGTCTACATGTGGCCATAACCAGCATGATCCCAACTACTGATCCAATGATCTCTTTCTTTGACCTCTCCTTGATCTTCTTGTACATGAAGCCAAAAGCAACACAGAAGATCAAGGCAGTTGCATAGATATAATCATCGCTGGAGATGCCTAGGAATAGGTCCTTGATTGCATCTAGCCAACTGGAGGATACTGATTCAATATTTCCAGACATCTTCTAAGATCCAACTTCCTTGGTCATGAAGTGCTCTGAACACAAACTCTAATTACTGGAACCAATTAAATTGAGACAGCATTCTCTCCTTTGAATCGTGGGTCCTTGTCAGCTTGAGATGTTCACTGCTGACTCCATGTGACCCAACCCTGGGGCTGAAATGAGAATGCCACTTCATGAAATCCATACAAGAAGCCATAGCAGGCCTATTTCACTAATAAAGTATTTAAATCTATTCTATTTATTCTATTGAAAGGACCAGGTCTGTGAAGAGAAAAAGTTTAGCAGGAAACTTTGGAAACATCACCATGAAATGAATTCATATTGACATTTGTGAAGACTTACAAAGTGAAGTAGGGTGGGTTAGAAAAGCAGATGGTTTATGGTACATGGTGTTGCTGGGGTCTATTTAGGTACAACATGACATAATTGTGGGGGGTTTAGTTTAATGTGATGGAATTCTAAAAAGCTGTTCAAGGGTTTGAGAGAAGGCAGGACTTGAGATTGGTTGCATGAATTTTCTACAGGGTGGGCTGTAAGTCCCTATACCCCAATAATTGTTTTTTTTTTTTTTTTGTGGGTCTCTGACATCTCCAGCATCATTGAAATGGCCAGCAAGAAGTCCTGACCACAGCACATGTGATAATTCAATGTGGGGGATATGTCAAGAAAATTGTGTCCAAGAGGCGCTACCTGACAGCTAATGAACTGATGGATGTGGTCCATGAAGCTTTCAGAACAATCACTTCTGCAATGCTAAGAAAAATGTCCCATAGAACCTGGAGACGCATTATCTTATGTCGGGAGAATGATGGTGCACAAACAGATGCCTTGGATGCTTAATAAAGTCAGGGGTATAGGGACTTATGGCCCACCCTGAAGAGCTTAGCCTGGCTGGAAGACTTATATCTCAAGCTCCAATACAGTTGGTCTTCGCGAATTTGCCTGGATTCAGATTAAATCTAAATCTTTTCTATTTCTCCCCAGCATCTTGTTCCTTCTATTAATGGCATGAACATAAAGGGCGAACCATGCGTTCAGCCCGGGTCAAAGCGGTATCCATGCGAGAGGCCATACTGACATGACCAATCCGTGATTATCTTCCGCCAGATGTCACGTTGAGCTCAAAAAAATATATTGCAGGGTGTGCAGCACTCCAGACGTGAACGCATGCGCATATATGATACGAGAGGCACAAGGAAAGATGTACGCATGCGTCTTGATCTGAGGAGGATTGTGTCGCCACCTCGCTGTAGCATTCTCTCTCTTCCGGTGCACGTCGGACATGGTGAGTCGCTCGAGAAATTCTCTCCCGAAAGTAATGCATTTTTGCTTTGTCGCTGAGGTTTGAATCTTTCTAAAAGTTTTCGGCTCTGGATTTTCTTGTTCCTGCTACACGTTTTTTTTTCCCGAGCTGCTTCTCACAGTGACGGCGAAAAGGCCTTGGACAAGCTGAGCGTGCTGTGGAAGCTGTTAGGAGTATAATTTACTTAATACGTTTCTAATCTTAAAAAGTCTATGTCTAATGGACTATGGCTGATGTATGCTAAACTCGTTTAACTGGTATGAGGAATTCTAAAACGCCAAGTGATATGTCTTTTGGTGCATGAGCGTGAAGTTGAAACCCCGTTCTTGCGGTGCTAGCCTTTCCATTATCTGTGTTGACTCCTTTTAAGCTATTAGGGGTTGACATCATGCTGGCTTTAGACGTGGAATTAGGTATACATGGCACGAAGTTGTGAAAATGCTCGAAATATTTAGCAAAAGGAGTGTACGAAAGAAGCATCATCTTCGTGACCTTAGTGTGGTGAAAAGTTACTGTAGAGTGGAAGGTTTAATGCCTCTTCCATTTCCCTTATTGAAACAATATACGAGAATCAGTAGGCCTTAATCATTGACCTAATGTTAAGTATGGTGCCCTGATTATCTTTGAGCTTTGGTCATGAGCATGTAAAAAGCAAGTATTAAGTTTGGTGCAAGGAAAGAAGCATCTGGTTTAAAGGAAAGTCATGATCAAAAGTGGGTGTTCACTAATCTGCAGGGCACATGAGATTTCGGCTACTAAAACTTTTCTATGCTTTGGTGTTTCACCGATTTTGTATCCTGCAAGATCAGGCTGAAGTAACACGTCTTTATGGTGACACTGGATGCAGATATTTAGCAGAGACTAATTGATTGAATTAGTTTTGGAAGTTGGAAGCCATATATATTGAAAGAATCTTTCTGGAAGATTGTAGATTGAAGACTTACTGTCCACATGGCTAAAGCAGTAATCCACTGAGGAGTTAACTCACATTGTTGCATATGGTTGTAGAACAGGTTGAACATTTCCTTGACTCACCTTAATTAATTTGGTCATGTATTCTTAATCCTTTACTGAAGTCTTTTTGCAGCATTTATTTTTGTGCTTATCAGATATTACAGGACAATATGTAACAGTCCAGTTAATCCCTTGCGAAAGGGAAGTGAAGGAATGTAATTTATTGGGTACATTACTATTAAATTTAATGTGAGGCTCCTTGGTAGTCTTTCAAAATGTGATAGGTGGTGTATAGTCTATCAGGTCCCAGCATTGCCTGTTTTATGGTAGCTTATTGATTTTGTGCTGTCAGCGTGTCAAAATGTCTGAAAGGGGCTCGAGGCCATCAGTGGCAGACCTAGGTGTTCCTGGCACTTGTCAGGCATCTTATCAAGATTTCTAAAACCATATGTGATGCCCCCCTTCTCTCGGGAGAGGAAGATGGATGGCATTTAACAACTCCTTTGAGGATTATTATAAGTGGCAAAGTTGGACCATATAGACTAACTTGACAAACTGTTAGTTCTGTTGTGGTTAAGAAGTCAGCTGTAACATAGCAGTGTATGCTAAGATATTCAGGTGGAGCTTAGCATTGAGGCTGCTGAACAAGTTGGGGCTCAAATGCCTCTTATGCTAGCACATTTCCCCCAAGGTGACAATACTCAATGTGGTGTGTTTGAAGCTGATCAGTTGGCTTTGGCTTAGTAATGTCAGATTCATTACTAACCATTAAGGAAAAATAAATTAATTTTTAGAAATAAGTTTTATGAGGGAGTCCTAAATAACCCGACTTGCCCTGTACCTATCAGGCTTGCATTCCAATGCAAAGGCTTGAAAGGTATTTACTCAATCTACTTTCAACTAACAAATAACTGAACCTTATTTCTGACATCTTTTCAAGTGGCCACTGAAAATCTGTTATGGGGAGGTCTAGCTGTGCCATTTTTGGCATTAGTTTGCCCGACAATGATGGGGCTTTGCAAGCAAGCAGCTGTCAAATTTAAAAAATGCTGAAAGTAATGCTACTAGATTTATGTCTAGTTTGTAGTATGAATTTATGCATTCTGCCTTCTATTTTCTTGTGGGAAAGACATGATCAGGCTTTGGTGAAGGTAGTACATTTTCCATGCTGATTCTCATACTGACTTGTCTAGGATTGAGCGACCATTTATGGTAGGCATAAACTTTTGCTAATAAGTAGCATAACTTGTCCAGGTGCAGATAGTACTACTTTTAATCCACCAAAACTTCACTAGCTTGTTTGTCATAAGGCCCTTAATCTCGTTTCTTCTGAAAATGTTTTTACCTATAGCCTGAGGTTCATTGGCATCCCACTCAGGACAAATCAAAGTGTCACTTTTTACGAGATGCTAGGCTTCCAAGTGTGCATTTGTGATCATTTTCACTACTAGGTTCAGTCTCTTGCTAGACCTTGACAGAGTATATAAATGGCATCCTGTTGAGGGTACATGCCCCGTGGTACTTTCTATGATTGTATGGGCTATACACTGGAACTGCCACCTTTGAGGATTTGCTAGGTGTAGGATATGAATACATTTTCAAATCCAGATAGAATTATTCATTAAGGTGCATGAACATTTTTTGTATTAAACCAATTGAGCTCATTTGGTTTGATTGAAAATTGAGAGGAGCAAAAGAATTTACTGGGTAAAGGCAATATCTACTTGTGTGACTGTCAGTAGCTTGTGTTCCAAAATTCGCTTGAATGAATATTCTTTCTAGGATACTATCTTGATCAATTGAGATTTGCAAGTTTAGGAGCATTTCTGGGGTTTCATGTGCAATCTGCCTTGATCTGCTATCAGTGATGGCCAAAGTTCAGCCAAATATTGATCATTTTATTTGGCAGCAACCATTGGCCTATAAAAGTTTTGCCAGCTGAATTAGAGCCATATAGAGCTTGTGACTATGTGGTGTCATAGGACTGGTACATGCAGTTCTAATTTTGAATCTAGTATATTTAATTTAGTTTTCTTAAGGTTCAAATCAGGTATGGTAAATTGAAATGTCATTCACATAGAAAATGCCCTTTTGTATAATTTTCAGTATATTTATTCTGAGAATGTCCTCTTCCACAGTCGCATAGAAAGTTCAGTGCTCCCCGTCATGGGTCGATGGGGTTCTACCCGAAGAAGCGATCCAGGCGTCATAGGGGAAAGGTCAAGTCCTTTCCTGCTGATAATCCTTCCAAACCAGTTCACCTTACTGCTTTCATTGGCTATAAGGCTGGCATGACTCATGTTGTGCGAGAGGCTGATCGTCCTGGATCAAGTAAGTTGAATCACCCTTTGTAAAATTGGTAAATAGGTTTTGTTTGCATAGATGTGGTGAGATACTAAAGTACAGTTAAATCCTGACAGAGGTCCATAAGAAGGAGATTGTGGAAGCTGTTACCATCTTGGAAACCCCCCCAATGCGAATAGTTGGAATCATTGGATACATTGAAACGCCCCGAGGCCTACGATCCCTGAAGACTGTGTGGGCTGCCCACATTGGAGAAGACTGCAGGCGTCGCTTCTACAAGAACTGGTATGATACTGGCTGCTGCTTTAAGGTAATGAGAGAGCAGTCGATGATGAGCCAATCTGAAATATGGTTAGCAAACTGATGAATAATGCTGTCAATCTAGGGCGGACTGAGACTGCTCTTTTCTTTTTAAATATCTTATGATATTGTTGGATAAAGCTTTAAAATGCATTTTGCACAAAGGCTTTGAACTCCTCTCTGGTGTTCATCACCGATGAGTTTAAAGTTGGTGCATTTGGTAAGCAATGCTCGAAAGCCAACGAGCAACTTACCTGAGCCCAAGATGCCTCCTCTACAGAGAGACCTTACTCTGCAAGAGGCACTATGTGGCATTTTCCCCCTTCATATCATGCCAGGTATAAATCCAAGAAGAAGAAGGCCTTCACCAAGTCTTGCAAGAAATGGCAGGATGAGATGGGGCAGAAGCAGATTGAGAAAGACCTGAAGACAATGAAGCGTTACTGCAAGGTTATCAGAGTTATTGCCCACACTCAGGTGAGCAGCTGAATGAGACTTGTCTGCATATGTTACACATTTTTTTGTTGATTTGAAGTTAAGTTAATCAAGTTTGTGAGACTGAAGTTGGAGTTGATTTTTATTTACCTCTATTATTTCATTTGGTGTAAACATAACTGATTTAAACTGATTTTGAATCATGGGCCTAACTGAACTTCTGATAACAATGATGTTGTCTTTCGCAATACCCAACTCCTCCACTGATGCAGAGTGAGGACAAAAACAAAATTCAAGTCTGAGTTACTGGGTTTTTTTTTCAAGAAGCCTTGATTCTTGTCCTGTAAAAGCCTTTTCTAGTGTATTACTCTCACTTTGACAGATGAAGCTGCTTCGCAAAAGGCAGAAGAAGGCTCACATCATGGAGATCCAGCTAAATGGAGGCACTGTCCCCCAGAAAGTGGACTGGGCAAAGGAACATCTTGAGAAGCAAGTCCCTGTGTCACATGTGTTTGCCCAGAATGAGATGATTGATGTCATTGGAGTCACCAAGGGAAAGGGATACAAGGGTCTGTACTATTCCCTGCATATACCATATTGTTTTAGTTGGAAATGTGTACTGTGATGAGGAAAGAGTGCAACTGTCATCTGAAGAGGCACTTGTGGAAAAGTACTCTGCTGCCTTCCTTCTGAGTAGAGGTCATTCACTTGGAATTTGCTGCTCCAAATTGTCTAAGTTTTATGGTTGTAAAGGTTATTATAGAATTTCCCAGGCTTTGCAGCAAATACCAAATGCTAATTTATCAGCCATGCTTCAAATTAGTGCACATCACAAGCTGGAGGTGATATTCATCCCAGTTCCATTTTTGCAGGTGTGACATCTCGATGGCACACAAAGAAGCTGCCTCGCAAGACCCACAAGGGATTGCGCAAAGTGGCTTGTATTGGAGCTTGGCATCCATCTCGAGTCCAGTTCACTGTAGCCCGAGCAGGTCAGAAGGGCTACCATCATCGCACTGAGGTGAACAAGAAGATCTATCGTATTGGCCAGGGCATCCACACCAAGGATGGCAAGGTGAGTAATGGATGTGTTTTTTTGGTCCTGAGTAAAGGCAGTATTTCAAAAATTGTTTTGGAAAGAATTGAAAATGTTTGCAGACTGTACATCAGTACTTTTGATTTTTTCCTGTACTGAACTTATGAAAGGAAGAAATGTGCAAGTTTTCAACTTTTGGATGCTTGACCTAAAATTAGTCTGTCCAAAATGATAAAATTATCACTACATTTGTACATGTGACCAGTTAATTCTGCCTAGAATCATCTCATACCTTCTAAGTATTGCATGGATTTATTACTTGCAATATTTCAGACCATCAAGAACAATGCAGCCACTGAGTATGACTTGAGTGAGAAGAGCATCACTCCTATGGGTGGATTCCCCCATTATGGTGAAGTAAACTGTGACTTCCTCATGATCAAGGGCTGCTGCATGGGACCCAAGAAGAGGGTCATCACTCTGCGCAAGGTACTACTCATTAGTATTTCTCTTTGAAACAGGATTAAATTCCCATTGCTTGTGATGAAAACTTCAGAGCCATGTACCACCGTATGAGTAGAGTGATTTGACTAATGATAGGGCTGAAGCTACTTGTATGTCTTGCTCTTAAAGTCCGCTTGAAATCATAGCTTTTTGCTTAATGAGATCATTTTTATGCCACAGACCATGCGCACGCATGTGAAGCGTGCTGCCTTGGAAGAGATCAACCTGAAGTTTATCGACACCTCCTCGAAGTTTGGGCATGGACGATTCCAGACTCCAGCCGACAAGATGTCCTTCATGGGTCCACTCAAGAAGGATCGCATTGCCGAGGAAACTGCCGCAACTGTTTAAAATCTCTTGCCAGGGTGTTGAATTGCAAAATAAAGGATTTGCATTATTGCAGAGACCACTTGAGTGTTCCTTCATTATGAAGCAATGCCTGGAACGTAGGATACGTTTTGCCTGGGTAGAAAGCATCTTGAGTGCAGCCAGTCGGACCACAATCTATGCAGATAAGGTTTACAAAGTGCATGGGTGAGAAATCTCCCTGGGCTGGGGAATGAGGGAGCTGGGCCTTGGTCAGCAATACCTGTATGGCAGTTTTTATCTATGACTTCAGTTTTGCTCACCTATTACCTCCACCCAGATGGTTCTGGACTGCGAAAAAAAGGTCTTATGGTCTATTTTAAAATTGAAATTAAGGACTTTACCAGCTGTGGTGTCAAGTAACTTAGCATTAATGTGATCGCAATACATAGTGGCTACTTCAATATTTTAAATTTGAGATGTATTGAGACTTTTTTTCCTGTCAGGGTATCCTGCTTGATAGCAAACCTTCAAGAAGTGGTGCGAGCATAATTGGTATTGAGTGGAGACCTAAAGCTTCCATCCACTCTCTTTCAAGAGAATTTGGGAAGGCATGTAATGCCAACTTCTCAATTCTGCTGTTACGATAGGAAGCCTCAACCAAAAATCACGCAATTTCTCCATTTCCTTTATCCATGACTCAATCTAATTGCCCTGATACATGCAATTTTCCTTACCTAACGAATGGAAAAAGTAACCAGTGAGAGGAAATAGCGAGAAGCCAAGAGTGAATACGAGGGAATACCAATGGATAAAGAATTGGCTAGACATCGAAAAACTTTCGACGCGTAAGCTACATTAGAAAGAATAGGATAAGTGAAGGCTGAGTGCGCGAGGCCAGTGAAAAGGGAGGCAGGAAGTGCCCTGTCTTGACTACTGGGGAAAGAATGAGCCGAGATCGTCTCCGAGGGCCCTTTTAACCTTCAGTTTTCTGTCTTCTGCAAACGAAATACAAAGGAGTAATACCGAAAAGTATGATTCCTTTTGGAAGGTCGACCGAACATCACCTGCGCGCCGAAAATTCGTCTAAAACGCGAATTTTCCCATTCGCTGCGCCTACATTCACTTTCCACTCTAAAAAACGGGAATTTAAAGGGGAAATGTGCCGAAATGAATTGCCAACCATCTAAAAGCAAGTTGCAAAAGGTATAAATAAGTAATGCTAACGTGATTTTCCTTCCTTCAGTTATGCAGTTATTCAAAATGTGGGTACATTTTTTTGGACCACCCTGTAAACATTAACACATTCACTGCCATAATCGACTTCATCGATTCAGTGCATCTCACCACGTCACTTCAACACGTTGACCGCCACGCGACACGCTGGCGTGTCATGCGACGTAATGGGAAAGAATCAGCAAAACTACCTTGGCGGTCAACATGTTAATAGAATGTAATAGAATATACCTTTTCCAGGTGATTTCTCAACGACGCTAACCCGCACCCCCAAAGGATTCATCATGGCTGGGATGATGGAAATGGAGAGAGCAGAATAACTCCGACTGTCCATTTTCTGGCCTGTCTAGGAACTTCCGTTTCTTTTGTCTGGCGTCCGTAAGCACGTGCCAGTTTCGATTCCATTCTCGATTCGCGATGGGGCAGCTGCGAGAGAGAGATGTGAAATGGGACTCGCTCATCGATGCGAGACTGAATGGAGATTTCGGTTTGTCGGCCGGTCGTCCCTTCTCGTGACTTTTGCATCACGGGGTAATGGAGTCTGGTCTCACGCGTGTTGTGTATGCTGAATTTTTGGATGAACTCAGTGCCTTCATCGGATGGGACGATGAATTCGTTTTTGTGTTGGACAATGTGCCTAAAAAGGTCATTCCCCGACACCCAACCCACTCCATTCATTTTTTCCCCCTACAGTCCCTGGATGAATCCCATCGAATTTACGTTCTCTGCACGTCAAAGCAGAAGCGAAGAGACGGATCGGCGCGTTGCAAGCTCCCCGTTGATAACCCTCCGTTGGCAGCCGCAGCAGGGATCATTCTTGCGAAATTTCGATGCCAAAATGATGCAAAAGATCGGCGAAGAGTCAATTTTTCATCGTGTGTATGGTGCGCAACCTTTTCCCCCTAGAGGGCCAAATTGAGATTTCGGCTCATGTTCAAGGGATTCGAGGGCCTCAGACCCTCGAACATGAGCCGAAATAGGCCGCATATTAATATAGATCTTTAGAGACCGGAGGCATTCAAGGAGCCGCAAAAAAAGGCTAGCAGCATGTGGCCCGCAGGTTGTGCATCACTGCCTTATGCGGACTTGCATACGAGTGCTATTTTCAAAATGGCGTTGGCTAGAAATCCCACGAATGAAGGCATTTCGATTTTCGGTCTCCTGCCGTCTGAATTTTCATTTATTCTCGAGGTATGATTTGGCCTCGTAGCCTCTCTCGGTTTCTCAATTTAAACTATGGAACGGAAACACAACGACATAAGGCCGTTTCACACTTAGCGTGTCGTACGTCCATTGCGTCAATGCTTGGGCGGGCGGACAGACGCACGCATCTCCGCGAGCGTGTCCCCTAACTTCACGAAACGCAAGACTTGCGTTTTCAATCGAGCTCATCTCAATTCCACTCGCTAGTCCTGCGTTTTGCACGCGTGCGTCTGCCTGCCTGTCCCAGCGTCGACGTAAAGGATGTATGACACGCAAAGCATAGAGTAGAGATTGTAAAAAATATAAATATAAATATATAGTATGTATATATAACTAGAGGCGACACTCCGAGGGGTGGGGTCGAAATATTACAGAGACATCTGGGGGCTTGTTATCAACAACACTTCCATGAGGCGTGGTTCGTGGCAGTAGCATCGGGAATCGACCCCAAGGGATCCCCTTTGGGTCGAATCCCCGAAACGAATATTCCCCTCAACGTAACACGCATGTCTCGTTGAGTCGAAGACGCTCCTCGTCACTTGGTCGAGGGCCGGACCTGCTCATGTGGGGCATGTCGTAGGAACGGACTTGGTTCTTTGTTTCTTTCTTTGTCCGAAATGTCCCTTGTGCGTTCGAAGTTAAATCAAGGGAAAGATATTGCTCTCATAATAGGGTATATCATCATGGTTTCCATACATGATCCCTGATGGAGCGGTCGTGGTATTCCTACATCATGACATTCTAGAGACAAGGTCGATCACGGAAGCCAGTAATAAGGACCTCCGTGGCTTCAATGGAGAGTTGTGGCGCCATGTCACACAAAATTATGCCTAAATCGTGGTCTGCAGGTGTACAGAGACAAGACCTAGGTCCAAGGTCTGTTGGAATACGAAGACAATGACCCGCGAAAGATCTCTCTGACATCTGTAGTAGGCTGAGTTTTCGCTCTTTTCGATTTCGTTTCACAGATGCTTGACAACTTTCGAGCAAGTGGAGGCAAGTCCTTGCTTGAGTTTACTTGTTTCTTGTATAACCCTCGCTTGCTCCTTGTAAGCAATGACTTGCTTGCAAGTTCTTTCCTCGTGCATTAGGGCCTTTATGAATGCGCGCGCATGCCACCGGCCACCTCGGGCCACAGTAGATTTTATTATATAGGTAGATATTATATAGGTGTCCCAAATTGAAATTTGAATAGAAGAAAGATTGAGAATGTCATACTAATAGTTTGAAGATAAAATTGGGAATTTGTTTCGAGGTTTAAGTTCAGGCCAATCGACCTTTAAATTCTGTTTTCAATTAAACTCAACGATCGACATATCATATGAAATGGCATTAATTGGGCTTATAAATGACGGATTAGTTTCTCACTAGACGCAAGAAGCCCACCAAATGTCATCCAAATCGGAGGGGGAGGGTCAATTTCCTTTTTGTGTCGACTTGACGTGGACAGACCCGATAATCCATTCTCACGATCGATAACACCATAATTCTCATTGGCCATTAGGCTCAAATTAGAGCCAAACACGAAAGGCGAAGAATACTCACCGGAATGCGTGTTTCAGAAAGGAAGGGAGGAGTAATGGTTGCATCTGATGTGCATAATGCAAAGTACACGTGGTCTCGGGGACATTCATTGCTGCTGCCTGAATGGAGGATAGAAATGGATCTCCATTCAGACACCTCCATTAGGTATTGGGTCCTTTTGTTCTTCGTGGATCATATCCATGTGCATCTCGCGCCCAGACCTCACAGACTTTCGGCCGCTTGTCATATGATGAAGTTGGCTGCGAATGTGTTTCTTCTGGGGTGGGTCCTTCGCCTCAGCCCGGGTGACGTTTGTGATTGGGTGCCGGGCGATTGCATCCCGGGTTTTCTCTTGTGTGATGACGTGGATTTCGTTCCGAATTGTTTGTGTGAGGTGTACGATCTCAGACTTGAAACTTCCGCTTGGATCGGCGACCGATGCCGAATGTTTTTCACGGGGATTACCTGCCTGGAAAGTGCCGACATCGTCCCTCTACTAGAAGCTCTCAAAACATCGAATGACTATCTGATTTTGAACGTCACCTCAGAGATGGATTGGAGACTAACTAAAGAAAAATTCACAGGACTGGACCTGGACGAATACACGAAGTCGCGGATCTACGCCGTGGATTCCGAACGAGTGCTGATGTGTCGTGGAAAACCAGACGATACTTTCTGCGAGATCTCCAACGTATCGAAAACGTCAGATCATTTGTTCCAATCTGAGATGAGAGACTTTCAAGGTCGAGAGATCACGGCCTTCGTCCTCGAGTACTGGCCGTATATAATCTTCGATTGGGGAAAGGAAAACGGAACCGACTACTTAAAAAATATGACTAAAGAGGGATTCGAGACTCGAATCCTGTCCACGGTATCTCAGAAGCTCAACTTTACGTATCAAATGAACCAATGTAAAGAGAAGCTATGGGGATTGGAATGGGACGAGACAGGGAATGCAACCGGTTTAGTTGCGACGGCTTTTGATGGCCGCGCCGACATCGCGATGTCAGGCCTCTTCCAGACCCAAGAGTTGGAAAAATACGTGGATTTCTCCCATCCTATCACCTACGATTGTTTGGGTATCATGACACGACCCACCCCCACGATACCATTATGGACGTCCGTGTTTAAACCTTTCTC